GATCAAATTTCAATCAAAGAATGGAAAAAATTAGGAAATTCAATTCAAATAGCTCAATAACCTTAATAGACTTAATAGATGAGGATAATTATGGTATTGAAAATGTAAGAATCAAGTTATGGTACGATGGAATGTTTTTTTTGTAATTTTATTTTAAGAAGATAGAAGAATGGAGCGCTAGATAATATTGGTGAAGCATGAATATCAGCTACCATTACATGCATATACCGAATCTATCACAGTGGTTAACTATAAAGCGTCCAAAAGAGTACTTTTCTTTTGAAGGGTTGGTCCAAAAAGAAGACTTGGCACCACAATCTACTGGACCTTTTTTTTTTGTTTTTTTACAGACAAAATGTATAAATATTTTAGATTTATCCAAAATTAATATAAAAAAATAAGATAAATTACACTGACATTATTTGAGGTTAGGTTACATTTTATTGAAAATTTTGATTTTAACTTTTATTTACATCACAAATTACTTTTTGACCTCTAACACATGTAAATTGACCCATATACCCTTATTTTTTAAAATCCAATTTAATGCAAAATATCTATAAAATTAAATGACAAAAATACCCCTCTGTATTGTTCTCTCTCTAACCTGCGCCATCATACATATAGATGTACACACAGTTATACATATACATCTACATCCGTATGATGTCTATGTTTGCTTGATTTTGTTAATCCATTTTTAAGTACGTATATGCTTATTTGGTGTCATGCATTTGGTGATTTCCTGAGAAGATGGGTATCAGATTTTTTTTTTTTTTTCGTGTAAGTGAAACTGGATATCAGATTCATTTAGGTGACTTTAGCCTTTAGGCATTTGAAATCTGTACTTGCTGCATTTAATGCCCAACTTTTGACATGTTAAGAATTTTCTTATTTTCAAGAATAATTCCAATTTTCACTTACAAAAAAAAAAAAATACTAAAAGAAAAAGAAAAGCATAATTCAAGTCCCAATTTTGCTAGTTACCCAAAAAAAAAAAAACACAAAAGGAAGTTCCAATTTTGGGGGTAATTATGTTAATGGTTTCTATATGAGGTGCATAGTTGTAGACAAAGCCAAAAGAAGGGCATGCATGGTTGTTTTGCCCCTTTTTGTTGATACCTTACCCCTTTTAGATTCACCTTGCTCCGCTTGCATAGACACACCATCTCTCCCTAATATGTAGTCACAACCCCGTGGGGATGGGGTTTTGGGTGGGGCCAGTAGTGATGGTGGTTTTGGGCGGGGGTGGGGGTGATGGAGGTTTTGGGTGGGGGTATTGGCGGTACCGATGGATTCTAGTAATTTGTTAAGATTCTTAAGAACTATTATCACTTAGTATTTTTGTCATAAAAAAACAAAAAACACCTGTTTTTTTTTTTTTAGTCAATGTAAGTCAAAAAGATAGTATAGTCATTTTGCATAGACTGGCACAGTGAAAAGTGACCGGGGGTAAGTGAAATATAAACTTATTATTTCAAATGTAATTAAAATTTAAAACCAAAATTTCCCTGCTTGCTGAAAAGTATTGCTCTTAAAATTTCCAGCTGTGTGAACCTCCCACGAACAGCCTCATTTATAATCTTAATCTCGCTCAAGATTGGCAATGCTTGATTAGGAATCAAATACAATTCTTAGTTTATTATGCTATTAGTTGCACCGCTTCCTTAAATTGACTAATCAATTTATGATTTACTCCAAAAATAATTACTTATGGCCTCATAACTAAATTATTGATCCCGACTGACCATTAGTTAAAGTGTAAGTAAAAATGTTAAAATCTTCATGTTGGTTCAAGAGGAGAGGTATTGGGTGTGACTGACGTATCGTGTACTGGGCTCGTCCTAAATGTGCTTGCTGCCCACACGCAGGCGAGTGTCATGGATATATGTATGGTTGGTAATGAGTCAATGCATCGTGCACTCGACATACCGAATATCTATTCTTTTCAAGAATAATAATGCATCTAGATTTCCAATTGCTACTAGCTGGCGTCTCCCCCAGTGCAACAATCAAACCACCCAGAAAAGCCTCCTCATCTTACACTCAGTGAGGTTTAGGTGCTCAGCCACCTTTGTTATATTTTCAGCATTGTTCCTGAAAAAATCTTCCAGGAATGACATGTTAATAAGAGTACATCTATTAATCTTAACGTTAATTTTTATCGAATTAGTTCATCAAGTGTCAAATGAACCAAGATCCGACCTTAATAAATAAATTTTTATATTTCAATTAATTATGTCACTACGTAGTAATATTTAATTAATTTAACGGATAATACCATGTCATCAATAGTATTCCTAAAACATTAAAGCCTTTTTTTTTTCCCAACCCTAGTGGAGTCTTGCCTGTGCATTTTTTCATTAATGAAACTTACTATACTAAAAAGAAAAAAGAAAAAAGAAAAAGGATAAAAAAAAAAGGGGAAATCAAAGATCCAGAGAAACGTACATGGTAGGATGATAAATGAACTAAACACTTCTTTGCAATTATTTTATTCGAAAGCTTCAAAGATTGGCCTAATCAAAAAAGGCTTGGGCCATAATAACTCCACGAAATATTATTGGCCTAATCAAAAAAGGCTTGGGCCATAATAACTTCACGAAATATCTGATATTTCATATTTTTTAAAAATCATACCGCGCAGATATAGTTTATATTTTACCCCGTGGGAGAACCTTGCATGACTCACGGCAAAATCCGGGACACTCATATATATATATATATATACACACACATATACATATATTATCCGATTGTTTGTACATTCATCCGTTCAAGACTTGAAGTAGAGTTAGTTTCTCTTTTTAGTTAGTTGTGTTGTTGTGAGCTGGATTATTAGCTCATCATGTTAGCACATCAAGTGGCAAAAACGCACCACAAAGGCCGTTTCTAAACCGTTTGACCGGTTGACTCATGCAAGATCCCATCGTCCCATCGTACGGCCACTAGTCAATGTTGTTTCAAAGGCCTCGTCTCCCATTGATTTCCAAGAAAATTACGGAGGCCCAACCATCATCACATCACACCTTCAAATCCTCTCCGCAAATCCTGCTCAGCCACGTCTCTCTTGTCCACCTCATCCTCCCTTCACCTCCTCACACTTGTCCATAACTCTAACATCTCTCTCTAAACAAACTCTCTCTCTCATTGGCGAGCTGCAGCCACCAAACCCTCTCTTTCTCTCTCTTTTCGTTATATTCTTATTCCCTTCCCATAACATCACGTACGACTCACCTCGTCGGCCTTCTCTAGGTTGGTTCATCTTATATCTCACTGTGACATTGATTAATTCCCCGTACTATCCTCTCTCTTGATTTCTCTCTCTCTATATCTCCATCTATATATATGTGTGTGTATATATACACATATATATACATATATTGATCCATCAGACGTTAATTGTAATTGCAGGTGAAGGCTGTACTCTTCTTTACATCATCCCGGAAGGCATATTTTAAATCTACAACGTAAGCCTCAACTCACATTCTTCATTCTTTCTTGATTCAAATTCATCTTCCACATTGCATTCTTGAAACACACACACATGTATATGTATGTATCATATGCATATACAAGAATTAATATACTGAGTTTTTAGTTGTGTGTATATTATATATAGCTTGAAGAGAGTGTAGGAATTAAGGTCGCTGAGGTCGCGGCAATGGCGTCGGCCCATGAACTGGGCCCGCAGGGGCTGACGAGGCGACCATCACGCAGCGCTGCTACAACTACATTCTCCATGGAGGTCTTCGACAACGAAGTCGTGCCCTCGTCCCTCGGAACCATCGCGCCTATCCTCCGCGTCGCAGCTGAGATCGAGAACGAGCGTCCTCGCGTCGCTTATCTCTGTAAGTAATCCCCTATTAATAATTCAATTCGATCACTCTGTCTTCTTTGATCTCTACCATTTTTTTTGAATATACGCTAGGGTTTATGTCCCCATTTCTCTCTATGTGTGTGATGATTCAGTTGAGTGTTTAATTTTATCTGATAATGTGTTTTTGGATGGGAATTAAGGTCGGTTCTACGCGTTCGAGAAAGCGCACAGGTTGGATCCGAGCTCGACCGGTCGTGGTGTGCGACAGTTCAAGACTGCACTCCTTCAACGTTTAGAGCGGGTAATGCTATTTTCTTTCGCTTTCTTTGTTGAGAGATTTACGGTTTACAAATACTCAAGCTTTCAGACATCACATTCCCGCTTTTACGATTCTTGAGTTTTAGAGAGAGAAAGAGATATATATATATATACACTCCTATATATATATATATAGAGAGAGAGAAAGAGAGAGTTAGTTACGGCAAAACGTATTCAAGTCTGATCGTGATGATGAGAAGCATGGTAATTAGGTGCGGTCGTGGTTATTTGAAACTGAGTACGTAGCAGTCACCAATTGGTTATGCTTTTTTTTTTTTTTTTCTCGTTATTTATTATTATTTTTTTTTAAGTTTAGCGTCAACCCCATAACATAGATGTAAAGCAGCGGTAAAGGTACAAAATGTGGTTAAACTGCGATTTACATTTGTGTGTGTGTTTTTTCTCCTCTCCAAAATATCTGAAATTATTTTAAAAAGTGTTAGTTTGTTTTTTTAAACAAAAAAAACCATGTGCAGTAACTTTAATAATTATCAAATTTATTTGTAAAAAAATAATTCTTGAACTCAATAGGTGAAATGAATTATTACACATAATATTTTTAATTAATCATTTATATAACTAATAAAGAATGTGAACTTCATTTAATTATATTCAACATAAATAATCAACCAATATTTTTTTTAACTATTCATTACAAGCTTTGATGTACCACCACTACTCTTATTTGTAACATTGATTATTCAACATAACTAATCAATCAATATTTTTTTCAACTATTCATTACAAGCTTTGATGTAGCACCACTTCTCTTATTTGTAACATTGATTATTCAACATAAATAATCAATCAATATTTTTTTCAACTATTCATTACAAGCTTTGATGTACCACCACTACTCTTATTTGTAACATTGATTTTCAGAAAATCACAAGTCACAGGAAAACAGGGTAAAATTGTGTCGTCACCTGTCATGAGCTTACGCCTCCGGTGCTTGTACGGAGAGTGCATCTATATTCATTCGCCTCTCGAATCTCGATCTGATCCAATCACCCAACGCACTCATAAGAAATTTCGTAAATCTGAGGCTAGTTCAGTACTATATGCTGTTGTTTGAATGGTATATTATATGTAGAGAGATTTTGTAGATGGGTTAGGGCAGTTGTATTCAGCAATTGCTAAGGGGATACCATTGAAACTCAAACAGACGAGAGAGCATTGGGTGAGTCCACTTCTATCAGTTTCAATGTCTATTACTGTTTCCTTAGATTATTATAATGTGACTCCTTTTGCGTTCTACATTCTGTTTTCTGAAATGGGTCATCTCATCTTTTTCTCCTAGTTAGTCATCTCATCTTCATATGATCAAATTTCTAACGAACTATAACTTGCTTGCTGAGACTGAGTAATTTGGTACCATACTAGAAAAATGGTAGATAAAGTGGCAGTTTTGATTGATTCAGGACAATGCATCAAGTCTTGCCTCCCGGGTTAAAAAGACTGATGCACGGGAAATTGAGAGCTTCTACCAGCAGTACTATGAGAGATATATTAGAGCTCTGGACAAGGGAGAGCAAGCAGACAGGTATTATTATTATTATATAAGCACCCAATTGGTTTTTTAACAGCTCCACTCTCTTTGTAGTTTTTTGTTTGTTCGAATAGAAACTAATTGATTGATTCATGGTTCTGATACCTTTCTATTTTTCGACAGAGCCCAACTGGGCAAAGCTTACCAGGCTGCCGGTGTGCTTTTTGAAGTCCTCTGCGCCGTCAACAAGACTGAAAAAGTCGAAGATGTTGCTCCGGAGGTCAGCCCCTGTTTGTTGGTGCTTTCTATCTATATTTGTTGATTCATATACTGCTATCAATCATGGTGTGATCATCATAAGTTTGCTATACAAGTTGTTGCCTTCAGGACATAGGCAATGTTAATTTGCTATACAAGTTGTTGCCTTTAGGACATAAGCAATGTTAATCTTGTGAGCAGATTATTGCCGCAGCAAAAGATGTCCAGGCTAAGAAGGAGATCTACACACCTTACAACATCCTTCCTCTGGATTCTGCTGGCGCGTCACAGTCAATCATGCAGCTCGAGGAGGTACCACAAATGCAAATGCGTTCACATACACATACATAATTACATATACACATTCATCATCAAAAATAAATGTAAATGCATTGCTTGATATGACATGTTGGTATACTTTAGGTTAAGGCTGCTTGTGGTGCACTGTGGAACTCACGTGGCTTGAACTGGCCAGCCTCATTTGAGCCACAAAGGCAGAAAGCTGGGGATGTGGACCTTCTTGATTGGTTAAGGGCCATGTTTGGGTTTCAGGCATGTGTTTTGATCTACATAATTAGAATTACCAACCCCCTACATAATTAGAATTACCAGCACCCAAACCACCCCAAACACACCCCACCCCCCACCCCCCCAAAACCACAAAAGAGTCAGTGAATGAATTTCTAGAACTAATGAATACTTTTGGATTATTTTGGTATTTACAGAGGGACAATGTCAGGAACCAGAGGGAGCATTTGATTCTGTTACTTGCCAATGTTCATATACGGCTCACTCCAAGGCCTGAGCCTCTTAACCAGGCATGCACCAAATTTTCCCATATTCATTTGTAGTGGCATTTTGGATGTTTCACAACTTTTACAATTACCTGTGCTGTAGATAACATTGGTATCCACTTTATGTTTGTTTGTTCCACAGTTACTTCTCTGACCATAGTAACGTCTTTTATCAGATTATCTGGCTGTCTTTCTTTTGTCTGAATGCTATTCTACTGCATGCCTAAACTTGATATTTTGTCCTGCATTTCTTCTCTAACTTGGACAGAAATTAATCTTTAATGTATTCCTCTTATCTAGCTTGATGATCGAGCTGTTGATGCAGTCATGAATAAGCTTTTTAAAAACTACAAGACATGGTGCAAGTTCTTGGGAAGAAAGCACAGTTTACGGTGAGTTATAATTGTATCTGCATCTACTTTGCTTAGCGGACATATTTTGCATGCTTGTTTTCTTTTGTAGTTTGAATTTAAGCTTCTTATGCATGATCTTGAGTTTGTGATGCTATATATACAAATGTTAATCCTTGTAGACTCCCTCAAGGCCAACAAGAAGTGCAACAGCGAAAGATACTTTACATGGGCCTATATCTTCTTATCTGGGGTGAAGCAGCTAATTTACGCTTTATGCCGGAGTGCCTATGCTATATTTTTCATAATGTGAGCAGTTCATCATCTTTCTAGTAACTGCATTGGATTCTATCAACTGACTATTTATTTCAGTAAAATATATATGTAGTACATGTGTCATAGCAATGTTTCTATATGTTCAGATGGCATATGAACTCCATGGTCTGTTAGCTGGTAATGTCAGCATTGTAACTGGAGAGAATATTAGGCCTTCTTATGGTGGGGATGATGAGTCTTTTCTGCGGAAGGTTATAACGCCCATTTATCGAGTAATTGACAGGGTAATTCCTATTGCAAACGTGCACACTGTTCTCTGACTTTTTGTCTCTCTCTCTTTTAGACATGATGCACTGGTGCATTTGATATTGCAGGAAGCCAAGAAGGGCAAAAATGGAACAGCCCCTCACTCAACTTGGTGCAATTATGATGATTTAAATGAGTATTTCTGGTATGTAGGGAATTAAAATCAAAATTGAAGTTTTTTATTTGAGATTGTATGGGTGCTTGGGTTTCTTCATTTTCTCTGCTCTATAATTTTGCCCTACATTATTCAGGTCATCCGATTGCTTCTCTTTGGGTTGGCCTATGCGTGATGATGGTGATTTCTTTAAATCAACACGTGACATGGCACAGGTGATCTTATGTTTTAAGAAGATGTATTGCTCTATGTTAATTAGTCTGTTGGTTCTCTGCTTGATATTATTGCTATGGCAGGGAAGACAAGCAAATCAAAGAAAGCCTGCAAGCACTGGCAAATCCTATTTTGTTGAGACCCGCACATTTTGGCATACCTTTCGAAGTTTTGATCGGTTGTGGACATTCTATGCACTGGCTCTACAGGTATTTAGTTGCAACGTAGTAGAATTACTGATTAGCGTTGTTTAGAATTTTACTGTCCAGCGTCGTTTTCGCTCCTCATTTTGGATACTTGTCTCAATGACTAGCTATCTAAGCATTTCTGTTGCAGGCTATGGTTATCATTGCATGGAGTGATGTTTCTCTATCGGAATTTTTTACGAAGGATGTCTTATACAGGGTTTCCAGTATTTTCATCACAGCTTCCGTTCTTCGCCTCCTTCAGAGTATGAATTTCTTACTTTATAGCTGGCATAATGTCTAATTGAAGCATAATGAAGATAAAATTCTGATTTTTCATGGTAGCATGAACTTTGACGTTATCAAGAAGCTATGTAGCTCAAGGACCTGTTGCTTCTTTCATTTTTTTTCCTTTCAATTGTAAGTATTGATAAAAGAAGACAGAATGAAAAATTGTAATGAAAATCTTTCTTGACTTGTAAGTATTTGTTTCAAATGACATGCAATGTTGCATGGTAGCACTGATGTTACTTTCACATGGGATTGGGTATCTATATCTTTTTTTCCTTTTTTGCTCACATGTTTTTGCTTTTCTTTACTTATACTTCTTCTTTTTGCCCCCTGGATTTTAAACTCATAATATGTTAAAATCTGCAGCAAATGTGTATAAAATCATTTTGGAGCACCATAAAACTGTAACTCTTGAATCATTGGGTTGTGCAATTTCTATCATGCATAATACAAGTGGAGGGGTTTTTTAATAGAAAATAGGTATAAGTTTTAAGAAATGTACCATTTTCAGTAGCTCCTTCCTGATGTTATTTTTGTGAATAGTTATTTTAAAGGACCTATGTCCTGAGTCCTCCCTCCCAAGGACCCTTCTATGGCGAGGCTAGAATTGAGTAATGTCCCCATTTCCCAGTTAGTTTAAATGACCACGTTTTGGTTCAAAGCAAGAACTTTTCTTTCAATGTACTTTATTATCGCTTCACTTATTGGTTCTTTTAACTGTTGTGAATCTTACTTTTGAGTAGTCTCACATTCGTGATAGATGAGGACACCCTTTTTTTTTTTTTTTTTTTGAGTAGTCTCGCATTGGGTGATGGATAAAGGTGTTCATTACTGGAACTAGAACAGGAACCACTCAGTATGCCTCCCACAGCTGTTGCTTGTGGAGAATGTCAACAGTATTCTGACTCGATGAATTTCTGAATTATTAATGAACTTTTTACTGCACAATTATAATCTAACTTGTTGCAGACTTTTATTTTCCCCTACTCGTTCACTTATAATTTATTATTTTACACTATATGCTACTAAAAGAAGAAGTTGCCATATTTTGCCACTTGACTTGATGATGATAACCCAAAAGTGTATTCGAATCCATTTAATGGGCATATGGGTTAGTATTTTTAGCAAATCCCTCATATTAGTTTAAATATAGAAAAATAAAGAGTGCGAAATGGATGAAAATGTGAAACAAAAGAGAAGTGAATGGGATGGAGGAGAGAAGAATATCTTAAGCTATGAGAAGGACCGAGCCAACCGTTTATGTATTTATTTATTATTATTATTTTACCGCAGAAAACAAATTGCTCAGATCCCAGTGTCATTCATGCCAGCTGTCAACTTTCATTTTGACAATTTGGAAAAATAAAAATACATTGCTATGGATTCCCAACAAAACAGTGCTATAAAATTTGAGAGGAGACCTAGCTAATTAATCTCGAGCATCTGGTGCATGAATGACACTCTGAAAAAGATAACCCCCCCCCCCTCTTCTTCTCTTTCTCCTCCTCTCCCCTCTTAAAACTGGACACCTTTTGCTGCTAACGCAATAGGAGTCTGAACCAAAATTGTAGTAAAAGAGTGGTTTCTGACCTGTCATAATTCACCCAAAACATATTACCGTAAGTTGATTTTCCAGAACAAATTTTTTTTTCTTGGGTTGGGTGGGGGGTATGGATGGTGCTAGTAACATCATGGATTTCTTAATCCTGTAACTTGCTTTTCTCATCTTAAATTGTACTTGAATTTAGAGCCTGCTGGTGAAATCCGTGATGAATTTAAATGTGCAAAGGTATCTTATTGGTTTTGCAGACATGAAACTGAATGTTGGTTGTTCTACATTTTCAATTTGTACATCGGTACATGGTTTCTATTAGTATCTCATTCCTTTGTTTATACCAATTGTAGGTATCTTGGACCTTGCTTTGAACTTCCCGGGTTATCATAGATGGAAGTTCACTGATGTCATGAGAAACATTCTCAAGATAGTTGTGAGTCTCGTATGGGTCATCATTCTTCCACTATGTTATATGCACACCAACAAAATTAAGCTTGACATTTTTAAAGATGTAATGTCATATGCTAATAAAGTGAAGGGAGTTCCTCCTTTATACATCTTGGCTGTGGCTCTATATTTGCTTCCAAATTTACTGGCAGCAGCGTTATTTGTCTTTCCAATGCTGCGACGTTGGATTGAGAACTCAGACTGGCATATCATAAGGTTTCTTCTTTGGTGGTCACAGGTATGGCCTCTTCTTCCTTAATTTTTATACTCATACCACATTTTATTTATTTACAGTCTTTTAATTGCTTGATTGGTGTGGAAGTGTTTGTGATATTATTTATACGATCCAATGTGAACACAAGACTGGAAGTTAATTATCGATTGTAACAATAGATCCTTAGCTCATAAAAAGGAACCTCTATATTTTCTAGTATATTCCAGATTCACAAGTATTGCCGATTTTTTTTAAGCATTTATGATATATTGGTTTTTGATCTTAATGGTGAACCTCCACTTGCTCATGTATGCATGCACACAGATATTATTCTTTCCTGAACTTGTATCACTGTTGCAAAAAAATGGAAGTGGTTTCTCTTACCCAAAAAAAAGGAGGAAGTGATATTTCTTATTTAAAATTTGGTTCCTTGTTTAAATAAGATCTGGTTGTGACCTTAAACTGATGTTTTGAGCTTGAGATATGTATGGAATGTATTTAGAAAAAGAGCATAGATTCGGCGAGTAGATTGATTTAGACATAAAGTTTGTATGGTGTTTCTTTCAGATGCAAAATATAAATCTTTATGTAATCATTCTTGAACAGGTCTATGATTGCTGAACCAGTGATTCGAGCTCCATAGCGCACTAATTCTATAATAACAGTTGCTTTTAGAACAATTGTACCACCCAACTCTCTCTTTGTTATGCTTTTATATCTTCAGACCGCTAATCATTAACTAAAATAATTTGATTCTGCCTTCCTCTTGCTTAAAGATCGTTGTAAAATTAGAACACTGGATGGTTTTGTTTAAATTTTCAACACTGAAGCAATTAAGAGTTCTTCATCTTTTGTTTGTTCAATTCTCTGCAGCCAAGAATTTATGTTGGAAGGGGAATGCATGAAAGTCAATTTGCGCTCATAAAGTGAGTTTAATAAGGAACAAACAATTTCGCATTTGATTATCTGGTGCAGTATATTTTATTAGTTTGGTTTGTTTGAAATTCTTCATTGTTTGCATCTATTTAAAATTTCAGGTACACTATTTTTTGGGCACTACTTCTGTGTTCCAAGTTCGCATTTAGCTACTTTGTAACGGTAGTTGCCACATCTTTGTTTTTTTTTTTTTCGTTCTTTTTTTATTATTTATTATTTATTTATTTTTATTCTTCCAAAAAGCACCAGAAAAGAATTTCCTGTGTTTAGTTGAGTATAAGAGCAGAAGTCACTTCATTTTAATTGCTGTTGTTCTTAAAAAATTGGATAAAAGGAGTAGTTGTGCTCTCTCTTAACCCCCATTGCATATATTTCCTCAGATAATACCTCTTGTCAAGCCAACAAAAGACATAATGGCTATTCGTAAGATTCAATATGCTTGGCATGAATTTTTCCCAAACGGTATTCATCTACTCTTGGTTCTTTCTTTCTTTCTTTCTTTCTTCTGTTTTCTTTTTTTTTTTTTTTGTACATTTTTTTCAACTTGTAGTTTCATGTTAAAAGTCATGTCAATGCAGCTCCAAACAACTATGGAGCAGTTGCCGCACTCTGGTTACCAGTAATCTTGGTGTGTCTTACCATACCCAATTCCCTCATTTCATACAAATAATTTTGTAGTTCTCTCAGTTTCTTCCAGATAATCAGTTCATAAAATTTTCATGGTGAAGTTATCTCATATGATTTTACAAGTTTTATGCAGGTTTATTTTATGGACACTCAAATATGGTATGGTATTTTCTCGACTATCTATGGTGGTGCTATTGGGGCCTTCGATCGTCTAGGAGAGGTAGTTGTTTAAACATTTAAAAAAATAAAATAAAAGAACATTATTTTTAGTTGTTTAAACATTTAAAAAAATAAAATAAAAAGAACATTATTTTTAGCTTGAATCATTGTTCCTCATGCTATGTGATCATGTAGTACCATACTTCATTAAAAGTGAATTGTCTGCAAAAGTGCAAATTATCATTTTTTACTTGCAACTATGTTTGGTCTGGGAGATAAAATTATAAAGTCCCGTTTTGAAATAGTGACAACTGACTAACCGCATATATTATAGGTGCAGCTCGGAGATCAGGGTATTATAGGGGGGGAAAAAATAGGGGGGGAAAAATAGATCCAAAATTTCTGGAATGATCAGGGTAATATAAATTAGCAGCATGACAATTGCACCATGGCTAGTCATATTTAATTTTGTTGAGATCAGCTTTTTTCATATTGTTCATCTCAACTATTTTTCTTACAGATTCGAACTCTGGGCATGTTAAGATCTCGATTCCAGTCTTTACCTGGTGCATTCAACGCGTACTTGGTGCCCTCTGAAACTAAGAAAAGGGGATTTTCCTTCTCAAAACGTTTTGCTGAGGTTGCATCTTGTGTTTCCATTCGTCATATATTTAAATATATTTCAAGGTGGCTAGGGTCATATAGATTTAATAACTATATTTTTAATCATTTGTAGGTTACATCAAGCAGGAGAAGTGAAGCTGCAAAATTTTCTCAGTTATGGAATGATGTCATATGTAGTTTCCGGGAAGAAGATATCATAAGTGACAAGAAAGGCCCCTGAACTGCTTTTTGTTCTGCTCAGCCATTATCATTTTTTTATCATGCAATTGGAACTAAAACCGTCTTTTTATTTATTCCAGGGAGATGGATTTGTTGCTAGTTCCTTATTCATCAGATCCCAGTCTGAAACTAATTCAATGGCCGCCCTTTTTGCTTGCTAGCAAGGTCAGTGCAGTGTTTTTTATTTTTTGTTTTGTGTGTGTGTGTGCGCACCTCTTACTTGTTTTTGTTGTTACGTGACGACTTCTGCAGATACCGGTTGCATTGGATATGGCGGCTCAATTTCGGTCCAAAGATGCTGACCTATGGAAGCGTATATGTGCGGATGAATATATGAAATGTGCTGTGATTGAATGCTATGAATGTTTCAAACGTGTCCTGGATGCCTTGGTGGTTGGAGAAACTGAAAAAAGGTTGCTTTTGGTACTCTCTTTCTTGAGCAATTTAGTGGCATTAACCGATCATTCCATGATATTAGAACATACCACTTACATTTATTTGTTAATTTTAGTTTTTTAGACTTGTCTATTAATTGAAAATAAATGGTTTTCAGCTCTACATCATTATATATATTTATATATACTCAGATTTGTATTTTGCTAAAACTCAAGTTTGTAAAAAAAGGAATTACCAAAAAAAAAGGAGTCGGTAAAAAGAGGACTTAATTTTAGGTCGCGGCCCACTTATGTAAGCTCTTTCGCCTTGTCAGACACCTCATATTTGTGTACTTTCTATACTGCAATCCATGCCTTTTCATGGTGTACTTGCCTTACACTTGCAATTTTATGTGTGTCCTACAAAAGAATCTGATCCTCAAAACGGATACCATTTGAGATATTCGCATTAGCTGGTGCATGATTAGTACTTATAGAACTGCTCTCTCTCTCTCTCTCTCCAATTTGCATAATCAGTTTAGATTATTAGAGAAGCTTAAGAACTAAAATGGTGGTAGTATTCTTGGGTTTTACAGTATTGCCATTACTACTGCAATTCTAAGTCTAGTTTTTATGCAACAGGATAATTGGCATCATTATAAATGAAGTTGAAAATAACATTTCGAAGAATACACTGCTTGCAAATTTCAGAATGAGTTCCTTACCTAGTCTTTGCAAGAAATTCGTGGAGCTTGTGGAAAGACTGGTGGGTCTTTTATGAAGGATAATCAATCATATCTGCTATACAGTTTAGTTGAGACGTACTTTTTCATTTTTGTGTATTAAAAACTTACACTTATTTGGATGTTGCAGAAAGATGCTGATCCATCCAAGCAAGATGTTGTGGTGTTGTTGCTACAAGACATGTTAGAAGTAGTAACTCGTGACATGATGGTGAATGAGATCCGGTCGGTGAATTATATAGCATATTAATAGGAACAAACCTTTTTTAAAGGCTTAGTGGAATATTCCTAGTTTTCACCAGTTTGACCATATAATGATTTTTTTTTTTCAATCTAAATTTTCCAGTGAAGTCGTAGAACTTGGTCATGGTAGTAAGGATTCTGGAAAGCAACTATTCGCAAGTACCAACTCGAAACCTGCTATTTTGTTCCCGCCTATAGATACAGCACAATGGGAAGAGCAGGTATATATGTATAAAGACTATAAACCCCCATATATATATATATATATATCTCCAATGTTAAATCCTTTTTTTTCTTCTGCAACATGTAATGATTATTTTTGCTTGTTAACGTTATAGATAAGACGCCTCTATCTCCTTTTGACGGTTAAAGAATCTGCCAGTGATGTGCCAACGAACCTTGAAGCACGCCGAAGGATTGCATTCTTTACAAATTCATTGTTCATGGATATGCCACGTGCTCCTCGAGTTCGTAAAATGCTCTCATTCAGGTGCAGTTTGTATTTCATATGATATATTGTCATAATGTGAGGTTTGCTTGGTTTAGGGAAATCACATGTTGCATTTCATTCTTTGTCCTTGGACATGCCACTTGCTTATTGAACTGACATGACCTCAAGCACTTGACCATTTTAAACTTCCTTTGTATACAACACACACCCTAGAATGTTGACTAACATCATGAGCTAGCTGGGAAAGATTTGCACTCAGTCATGAACAGTTGATGTACTACATAATCGTCACAGATGGGAATAGTAACTATTGTTTGCAATATTTATTTCTATCAAAAACAACTAGAGAAACTTATGTAATTAATTTTCTGAGTGGAGAAAGGAATTGTCTGGTTGCTTTACGGCCTGTCCTGAGTAGTACTTGTCTTTCAAGCTGTTGTAAGTCTTCAACTGTTACATAATCATAATTATATTACTTTGCATTGGCAGTGTCATGACCCCATACTACAGTGAGGAGACTGTCTATTCTAAAAGTGAGCTTGAGATGGAGAACGAAGATGGTGTATCAATCATATATTACCTGCAAAAGATCTTCCCAGGTTTCAAATTTTATAAAAATCAACAGCAATGTTTCCTCTTTAAATGGCACTTTGGTTTCATATTTTCTCAGTAATGTTTGACTTGCTGATTTTGGTACCCATATTGTGACTTCTTTTAGATGAATGGAATAACTTCATGGAGCGAATCAACTGTAAGAAAGAGGTTGAGGTTTGGGAAAATGAAGAGAACATCTTGCAACTACGTCATTGGGTCTCCTTAAGAGGACAGACACTCTGTAGAACAGGCACCTCCTGCATCACTTCTTCCTTCAAATTTCTTTTCACTTTTTATCTGTTATTAATTGGTGTTGGTGATGCAGTTAGAGGGATGATGTATTATCGAAGGGCTTTGAAACTTCAGGCTTTTCTTGACATGGCAACTGAAAGTGGTAAGAGCATATTTTCAATATTCATTCTACCAGAGAGGATATTCATTCTCCTGCTCCTTAAGCCTGTTGAGCATGCTCTTTGTGAAATGGATTGGCAGATGGGACAAGTTCCTTAAAAAGTATGAATTTTGCAATGAAATATTCAGTTTACAAACTACTAACATATTTTACTTTAGAAGGTGCATGTTATTGTTTCCATACTTATTGTTCCAGAATAAATGAAACAAAAGATACGATAGAGCTAGGACAGTTATCAAGATGTCAGCTTCCGTCAAATCAGCAATGACTTGGATACAAAGTGGAGTTGGATGATTGCACTGTGAAAAGTCCTGATTATATTTGTTTGATAGAACAAAACACACTTTCTCGTGACCAGAAACTGGAAATGTAATGAGTACTATGTTATGAGTGCAGTAGACAGAACTAGGGTCTCTAAGGCTTTAGAGGAACATACATTTTTTTGTTTTGGTAAAATTACTGTCTTATTCTTCGGCTTTGACAGCCATAAATTCCCTTCATTTTCTGTTCAAGCTATGGTGAGAGACAGCAATCCTTTCCTTGCGTACTTTAACCTATCATGGTAGCATAGTTCATAAATTTAAGGATTCAAAGAGAGAAAGAATTTCATATAACAGAAGGCTATTTCTGATTAGTTGCTCTGACTCTTATTTATTTACTGTAAATAATAATAATAATAATAATAATAAATTGAGGTGAATGCCTATGATACATGCTGTTGACATAAGCATAAGAAATGTGGGGTTCTGCCTTTTGTTTATTTATTTTTATAATGCTTTTCATGCTGTTTTCCATAATGCAGCCTAGTATATAATGATTAGTGACCTTTTCGCAGTAAGACACTGGCTTCTTACTCTATTAATGTAAACTGGACAGAGATACAAGAAGGCTACAAAGCTATTACAGTTCCATCTGAGGAAGACAAGAAAAGTCAGAGGTCGTTATTTGCTCAATTGGAGGCTGTAGCCGACATGAAATTCACATATGTTGCTACCTGTCAGAACTATGGGAACCAGAAGCAGAATTCAGATCGACGTGCGACAGACATTTTGAATTTGATGGTTAAGTATGTTTCACATCAAAACTATGGAACCAGAAGCGGGTTCTCCTTCATTGTTTTCAGTTTGATTTTTTAATTGATTCTATTTGAGGATCTGATTTTTGGTACTTCCAACCACAGCAATCCATCTCTGCGTGTAGCATATATTGATGAAGTTGAAGAAAGAGAAAATGGAAAGGTACAAAAGGTGTATTATTCTGTATTGGTCAAAGCTGTTGAAAATCTTGATCAGGTAATTATCCTTTCTCCGGACAGATAACCATGTTAATTTATTGTTACTCAAACCTATTCGGCTTGTTTTTTCTCCCTAAAGGAAATCTACCGCATAAAATTGCCGGGTACAGCAAAGATAGGAGAAGGAAAGCCTGAAAATCAGAACCACGCTATAGTTTTTACTCGAGGAGAAGCCCTTCAGACAATTGACATGAACCAGGTAAGCTACTGGAAGTATGAAATTAATGCAGTTAACTATGATTTCTTTGGCCAATTATCAACTGTATTGGTTCCTAATAACTGTGGTAGGACAATTACTTGGAAGAAGCTTTTAAAATGCGCAACCTACTTGAAGAATTTAATGAGGATCATGGGGTGCGTCCGCCTAGTATTCTTGGCGTTCGTGAACATATCTTCACAGGAAGGTTGGATGATCATTTGTTTTGTTTGTAGCTATGAGTTGATCTATGACCTGATAATTTTAGTTATAACTAATGTGTTATTACATTGCACTGCAGTGTTTCTTCTCTGGCTTGGTTTATGTCAAATCAAGAAACGAGCTTTGTCACAATAGGTCAAAGAGTTCTTGCAAGACCATTGAAGTATGTTTCTTATTTTGTATCTTTTTCTTTAGTTATATATATATATTTTTATTTGATATCTTCTTTTATTAGTCATCGGATCGGTGAATATGTTAATTTTTTTTTTTTGAAATAATGTCTTTTTTGTATTGGACTGATGAAAGGCATTTATGTCACCAACCACAAATAGTTGGATAAGATTATATAACAAATGAGTGATGACACGTTTTAATCCAATCCTGCTGGTCTGTGTACAGAAACATATTATATGTTTGTATACCCCACAAAGATTTAATAGAAATAGCTTCAAGGTCCATTATATCAAACCTCTCTCCATCCACCCCCCAATGCACACAAGCACAGAAATACTGCATGGACCAAGTACTCTTTAGTTTTTTTTTTTTTTTTCTCATTCTTGTTTTCTTTTATCTGGTGTGGGTCCATTTTTCTTGTAACTTGCAACGTGACATTTTATTTTGTTACTTTATATTGGTTGGATTTAGGGTCCGATTCCACTATGGGCATCCAGATGTATTCGATAGAATTTTCCACATTACCCGAGGTGGCATCAGCAAAGCTTCTCGTGGCATCAACCTAAGCGAGGACATCTTTGCTGGTATATTCTTAAAAAATCTACTGTCCTAGGTATGTTTTTATTTTAGCTTATGACTTGATATATATTTTGCCTCTGTAGGTTTTAATTCGACACTAAGGCGTGGAAATATAACTCATCATGAGTATATTCAAGTTGGGAAGGGACGAGATGTTGGCCTCAATCAAATCTCTCTTTTTGAAGCAAAAGTGGCATGTGGAAATGGGGAGCAAACGCTCAGTCGGGATATCTACCGATTAGGCCATCGCTTTGACTTCTTCCGCATGCTCTCATTTTATTTTACGACTACTGGCTTTTATGTCAGCGCAATGGTAATTTATATTTCCATGCAGATCTCATGCTTAATGGAAATGGACACTTAATAACCAATCTGACTTGGAAGTTAACTTAGCTTTGGAGTTTCATTTATGTTGCCAATGTGATTAAAATAAGAGATATACTAATAAATAAATAAATAACTGAATTAATATCTGAAATAGATTATAATAAGGTAACATATGTCTCATCTCTAGAGCGTACATTTTTTTTTTTGGAATGAAGTATATATAGCACTCAATTTGCTTCAAAGATGCCGATTATAAGGGTACTGGTACAGATGGAATTAGTTTTCAAACTCTTAATCAGACAGAGAGACAACACAACAGTAAGTATTTAAATACAGGGGCTAAACATCAGTGCCATTGGTGCGGGTTCGAGCATCAGAGCTGCCACTTTGTTGAAATACCAAAGGTTAGGTCTGTCTTAGATTCTTAGTCCTCCCTCCTCAGGTCCTTGCTGTAGCAGGGCCAAAACCATGTAATGCCTTTTTCCTTTACAAGGGCTGAAGTTGGCACGTCAAATTTTAGATTAGCAACAGCCTTTTTTCTGTATAATACTACTTAGTTTTGATCATTAGTCTGAACATGTTCATTCTCTTTTCCATATTTTATAGTAGTATATTTTCAGGAAAAGAAAAGAAGATTACTATTAATTGCTAGAAGGGCTGCGTTTATTGCTTTATCATTCTTCTGTGAGAACTGGTGAACAATTTTAGATGTTTGTCAGGCACCATACATGCTTTCACATGCAGTTTACATATATTGTTAGTACAAATTTTCTTCCTCTCTCTGCTATATTTCATAAGTCAAATATTGCCTGAGGCGGGATCTCAAGAACTAAACAAATCCTTTATGAGGTCATTTATGCATCTGTCAGCAATCACCTTTTAGTCTTTTACTTTTAAACCACTTTTATGTCCAAACAGACCTTGAAGAGGTATATTTTCATAGATTTTTCTAAAAATTCTATGTAGCAGTACTATATGTAATTGAAAACAAAAAAAAAATTCTGCAGCTGTTTCAACTATGAAAATTTGAAATCTAGCAAAATTACAGTCAAGTGTAATGGTTCTAATGTAGATACTAGAGGACAAGCACAATATAGGATTCATAACTTCAATATTTCTTGTAAATGTTACCACATTTGTGGGAGGTATAAATTTTGAAGCTTCTCAGTGCAGGGGTTTGAGATAAGATTAGTTATTTATTTGTTAATACGTGTTTTTAAGCTTATCATAAACATTCTATCGAAATCTAAATCAGATTTGTCAATAAAAATGACCTAGAGGTTAGTTCAATTTAGAAGACAACTCTAGAAATTGTAGAGAAATTCATTGCCTATGGCACAAAATTCTGATTAAGAAGTCTTGAAAATTCATTGTTTTGCAAGTCTCTCTTCATTGTATATTTTTGTGATAACACACTTTTTCTTGATCTTGCGCAGATTACTGTCCTTACAGTATACGCTTTCTTGTACGGCAGACTCTACCTTTCATTGAGTGGATTGGAGAAGGCAATAGTTCAAAGGGCCAAGTCTAGAGGAAATGATGCTTTGATGGCAACTATGGCTACACAGTCCATTGTTCAAATAGGATTCCTGATGGCGTTGCCCATGGTTATGGAAATTGGGCTTGAGAGAGGGTTCAGAACTGCATTAAGTGACATAATAATCATGCAGCTTCAGCTAGCAGCTGTCTTCTTCACTTTCTCTCTTGGGACAAAGGTCCATTATTTTGGGCGCACAATCTTGCATGGTGGAGCCAAGTACAGAGCTACTGGTCGTGGATTTGTTGTACGTCATGAAAAGTTTGGAGAGAACTACAGGATGTACTCAAGGAGCCATTTTGTTAAAGCAGTGGAGATGCTTGTATTGCTTATAGTTTATCATGTTTATAGTTCAGCAGCTACTAATTCTCTTTCTTACTTGCTCATCACTTTCTCAATTTGGTTCCTAGTTATTTCTTGGTTGTTTGGTCCTTTCATTTTTAACCCATCGGGATTCGAGTGGCAAAAGATAGTGGAAGACTGGGAGGATTGGACAAAGTGGATTAGCAGCCGAGGTGGTATTGGTGTGCCTGCAAACAAGAGCTGGGAGTCCTGGTGGGAGGAGGAGCAGGAGCACCTGCAGCATTCTGGGTTTATCGGGAAAGTCTGTGAAGTTGGTCTTTCCCTGCGCTTCTTGTTTTACCAATATGGAATTGTGTATCAATTACATGTGGCAAATGGTGAAAAAAGCATTGTGGTAAGTTTACGAGTCGTCTTTGACATTACATTTTCTGCTTTACCTTGTAATTCGCTTTACAATGTGCTCTAAGTGTTAAAACCGCTGTCGGATTTATTTGTTGTTGTGATTACAGGTCTATGGTCTGTCTTGGCTGGTCATTGTTGGTGCGATGATTGTCCTGAAGGTCAGTGCTCAAATTCTGAAGATCAACCTATTCTCTTAACAGTATTCTGGATGGAAAATATTCAATTATTCTTATTTTATTTTTATTTTCTTGTTGTGCTTCTAAGACTTGAGAAATGGGCATCTATTAATTGCAGATTGTGTCCATGGGTAGAAAGAAGTTCAGTGCAGATTTTCAGCTGATGTTCAGACTTCTCAAGCTATTCCTGTTTATTGGGTTCATTGTCACTGTTGTGCTTCTGTTTGCATTTGTTCATCTTACTGTTGGAGACATTCTTGCCAGCCTACTGGCCTTCTTGCCAACTGGATGGGCCATTCTACAGGTATATCCACCATACATCTTTTTCCCCTCTAACACAGCAGAAATCTCCGCGCGTGTGTGTGTGTTGATTTTCTGATATTAAACCTCATGATCATTACTTGTGATTGTGATTTCAGCATTTGTTTAAAACTTAAAAGATAAAGTGTGGTCTTATATGATTGTTGTGCAGATAGCACAAGCATGCAAGCCAGTGGTGAAAGGCCTGGGAATGTGGGGGTCTGTCAAAGCCCTAGGAAGAGGGTACGAGTACATAATGGGGATGCTCATTTTTGTACCTGTGGGTTTCCTTGCCTGGTTCCCGTTCGTGTCAGAGTTCCAAACCAGGCTGCTTTTCAATCAAGCTTTCAGCAGAGGGCTTCAGATTCAACGTATTCTGGCTGGAGGGAAGAAGAATAATTGAATAATAATAATGCTAGTTAACGTAAAGAGGAGAGAAGAAGAGTGGTGGGTGGTTTTAAGGAGAATTTTGAAGTCAAAACAGAGAGAGATCATCATAATATATATCATGATGATGGGTTTCGAAGAAATTTTGTAGGCAAAACAGAGAGATCATAGCAGCATGCGGATGTAGAAAGAAAGAATGTGTACGGTTTTTAGTTGATCTCTAGTTTCTGCTTTGGACCTCCCTCCCTCCCTCCCTCCCTTTCATGTAAGGAATGTATGTGTTGTTCTCTCTGTTCTTCAAATATCATCAACCAATGAATGCTTCAACCTGTATATTCATTCACTCACTCGCATACCACCCATATGTATGTAAAACTCACTACAAGCAACAAAAAGTAGTATTGGAATACATGTATCTCCTTTGTACATGTCTCAAAAGAAGTGTGCAGCAATTCTCATTATCATCATCATCAGTGAATGCTTCCATTTCTCACATACCAATTAAGTTTAAAGGAGAAGAAGAAGAATGAATGAATGAATAGTTAGTGAAAAATAGGATACACCTTGATTTGATTAATATGGTATGTTCACTTGCGTATTGTTACAAAGGATCTTCCGGAACTAGATGATATTCATAATCATATGAGTAGAAGTTGTCAAAGTTATCATTTAAAAAGGAATGCTGTCTGTATTTCTCCAAATCATCTTCCACAAGTATCCTGCCCGATTCACGTCGCACAATGTTCATGTTCAAGGATCCAAAGAAGGAAGAAAGCATCATCTGCTGTTAGTTTGTTCTAGTGATATAACCTTGACTGGATGGATGTATACATCCTACAGCTAGAACCTCGAGGTACTGTAGACTTTCACCTTGTTGGGGCAGTCCCCCCCCCCCCCCCCCCCCCACCCACCCCTCTCTCTATATATATTATTTTCATGCCTCGACATTTTTAATCTTTAGCCCCGATCTCTTTAACTAAGCTTTGTCATTAGCAAAAATCAAACTCTCCATATTTCCTTCTTTAAACCTCTCTTTTCCTCTTCTTCATGACTCTTTTTAAGCAATAATCTTAAATAAAGCATACTTGTCTACTCTATTTTATTGTAGAGATACATGAAAATCATGAATGCAAACCTAGTTGGAGACCCATATTGTCAAGCAATTCCCTTATTTATATGGCTCAATTTAATTATCCATTTGTTTTGATTTGGAGAACATAACTGAATTAGTTCAAGTTCCAATATAAAAACGAGTTTCATTCATTAATTTTTTTCTTGTGCAAGTAAGGACTTTCTAACTACGTAGTACTCTGCTGCTGCTTCTTTTCTTCTTCTTCTTCTTCATTATTTTTTATTTTTCAATTGAACCTTTAAGTATATTGAATTATTGAAAAATTCTTAAAAGTATTCATTTTAAGAATTTTATTTTTATTTTTATTTTTGTTTCTATAATTGTGTTACTTGTGACTAGGAATAGGCTCTCTCTGATTATGCCAAAATTCTTCTAAAACATTGTCGATGTTACCCTTGTTTTATTATTATTTAAAAAAAAAAAAAAAAAAAATTGGAATGGTTTATTGTGTCCTCCTTGACATAAGGTGGACTCATATTTTTCGAAACATAATTGCTTTTAGTATTCAGTTTCATGGCATTTGATCATCACTCCTTTTATTTATTTATTTATTTTTTTGTCATATGTATATTTATATATATATATATAATGGACAATCTATATCTTTATATTTCTTTTTATCTTTACAAAAATGGATTCTGCCACTCAATCGTTTTATTTCTTTTTTCCCCTCCATTTGTTCATTTACAAAAATTTTAAATCAAGTTTTATGGAGTGGTCCCAAAGGGAGATGCTATTTGGGAATCCCTTGATTCTTTTCTCCATTCCCTTTTCCTTTCTGAAGTGGAACTTGTTTCAGCAAAATTCTTTTTTTAAACAAAATTGTGACATTACAAGACTCCATTAATAACATAAAATTAATAAGATTTACATTTGATTTTATAAAGGAAATGAAGAAAGTTAAAAGTACAAAATCTAAAATTTGATTTGGTACATTATACCAAGTGATCCTGTAAATCTCTTTTATTCAATTTTTATTTTTTATTTTTTTATGAGACAGTATGCTTTTCAGGGCATAGTAATGATACTCTATCCAAATGAGACCATGTGATAGGACCCACCAACGGGCTCAAATATGACAAGGCCAAGATGATGACAGTAACAGGGACTAGGATACTTGAGAATCAAAAGTTAGGTATCTCAAAATTCAAACAAACAATCTGTCTTTACAGGACATAGTCATCAACTATGTTAAATGGAATAATGTTCACTTGAAATTGAAAGACAAATTTGGCCTACAATTCATCATCATTTAGAATATCACCTTGTTTATACAATTCCAATATAAATGAACACAACTCTAGCATCACAATCCACATAACAGAGCGCTACCATCTAAAGGGAGAGAAGAATTCCACATGTACCTGCCTGGTTCTGTAAATGCTGCAACTATGAAGATCCACATCAAGCTGAAATCATCCCCAAGAAAAGGACAAATGCAAGCCCACTGCCACAACGAACCACTTTCTTCCCCCACTCTGCTACGGAGTTTAATCCCGCAACAAGACACATAAGGGAACGCTCCCAATTTATCTGCTAAAGCGTTCCTAGTGCACCCACCACCCCAACGAGACACCTCAGCATTGACATGAATGGAGGAACCACCGTGATGAGAAAATATAGTGCTCTTCTTGTATCTCTTGGTTTCATCGGTAGGAGCATGGCACTCTGCAGCTGATGCAGGCCGGGAGGGATGGACCCCAACAAATGTTGGACCCTTGAGTATGATCTATTTTGCTGCTTACCTGGGACCAAATACAGCAAACAATGACAAAAGAAAATGAGGACCACTGTCCATATAACAACAACGACCGCAGGTTGAACATATACCTGCAGCACCCTCCGATCAAAAATAAGAGATTCATGCATCCTTAACACAAATACTACATGGGAACATTCAATCACCTTAGTATAACAATAGCCATATAAATATCAAGAAAATATTTTTCTTACAAGAGACTGGTCAGAAGAATCAGGCTACCAAAATACATGACCAAACTAGAATCAATTGGTACTGAACATCAGTGGATCCATGGCTTATAATCCACCCAAATTCTCATTTTCTCATAATTATTCTGCTATATAGACTTGTAATGAGAACAAACATTAGAACATGATTATAGGAATGCTGGTTCCAACCATCAGACTTTTCACTGGAAATACCGAAATCTACCCCTTTTTCGATCTTGCATAGCATGTTTAACTCCCTCCTCAGGCTGCCTACAAGGTATAAAATCTTCATTGTACAAAGTAGCATTGCATCCCTGATTTGCACTTTCCCTGATATCATTCTCCTGGTTTTTTCACAATTTCAATTGAGTACACAACGTAAATGTAAAAGGAAAAAAAAAACTTTCAAGCACGTGTATACATATATACACTATTTTTTTTTTTTAAAAAAAAAAAAAGAAAAAGTAAAAAGAATACAATTTTCAAAATCTTACCTTCTGTAATACATCAAAATAGTTACCCTGCTTGTTAAATCCTTCTGGGGGTACAGGTGACTCGTTCACGCTAGAAACATGTTGTACAGAATCAAAAGAATTAACTGGGCAACAGTTTTGTTCCTCGTTGTTACAATGGTTGGAGGATGTATATAAGCTGCCAGTAAGGAAGCTTTCAGATCCACTAGCTTCAGCAGGACAAACTAATGGGTACTTGAGATCATTCAACTCCAAAAAGGTTCCGGGCGAAAGCAAGGAGTTAAGAGCAGAGCCAGCTTTCTGATTGCTGGAGAAGTTAAATCCACCTTCATTAAGCTCTGGCAAGTCACTCAGGTCCGCTAGACTATTGTTTATACAATTCCCGTCCAACCAAGATACATCTCCAATGTTTCTGTCATGATTGAAATCATCTGGCATCTGTTGGCAAATACAATAAAACTTTGTACATTAGTATAGGTTAAAATATCTACAAAAAATTCTATTAATAAAATATCAAAAAATAGTGGAGCAGCACTGTAATTGTGACTATTAAACACTTGAAAGGTAAGGACTCATGCTCAACAATGTAATAATATCAGAAGCTACAATAAATCAATCCTGATTAGGTAGAAAGAAGGATGAAAGAGTTATTACTGGCTGCAAAAAGCAGGGCCACCCCTAAACAAAAAAATATAGTTCAACTTCTACACAAAATATGTTAGCACAAGGTTACAAATATATCCATATACCACAGAAATGACAGTCACTATATACAAATAATCCATAACGGCCTTTCAAAAAAAAAAAAAAAATAGTCCATAATTGATAAGTGATAACCAGATTATGTGAGAGATGAGGGTGCCTAGACAAATAGCAATTATGACAATTTGTGATGATCCTTTGAATTCCAACAGCCTTTTTCCTAGTAGATATTTGCTGCAAAAACATAAAACCCCTTCCCCGAAAAACTGATAATAAGATAAATACATCTATAAACAATTTTGAAAAGAATAATTTGGCATCATTAATGACAGGACATTGTCTAGTTCAGCACTAAAAAGCTTAAGCATCTGTGCCACTAGCGCGACTACTTTGTGAAATACCAAAGGTTAAGTACAACTTGAGTCCTCCCTTCCCAGGACCTTGTCATAGTGGGACCAAAACTGAGTAATGCCCTTTTATGATAAATTTTTAATCAATAACTACAGCAGCATTTCCCAGTTTTCCACAATCGCCAGAAAATGTATCATATTTGACCACTGAGAAAGAAAGAAAGAAAGAAAGAAAGAAAAAAAAATTATATAAATATAATGATATAGTCTGAAAAATGAAAAAGAAAGTTCGCTCAATATGACTACCATTTTTTACATATGAATGTAAAAGATGATAAGAATGAATATGTTCCTAGAGCTTAGAAATCCAGAGAAAAAAACAAAGAAAAAGTAAAAAGTCTTTATCATTATTTGAAATTCAACTGCCATTAGAACATGAACACTATCATTAACAAAGGAAATATACTTGAGGCTCTCTATTTGGCCAAAAGAGCAGCAGGCTACGCACCACGTTATTGTTATGCTCATCAGAAAGCAAAGTGTCGTCTTCTGTGAACATGGCCAACTGTGAAACAAAATCATCATCATCTGCAGGAGGTTGAGGCACCTCCTCAGCAAAAGGCACAGCATTAGATGGTCCAGCTTCAGACATAGATACGCTAGATGTAATTTCAGGTATTAACATGCTTGTCACAGAAGAAATGTTCTGGTTATTAGGCAGTACAAATGCTGCTGGGGATGGGGCATCTTCGACTTCATCATACCAATCCTGATTAGGTAGAAAGAAGGATGAAAGAGTTATTACTGGCTGCAAAAAAGCAGGGTCTAAACAAAAAAATATAGTTCAACTTCTACACAAAATATGTTAGCACAAGGTTACAAATTTATTTATATACCACAGAAATGATAGTTGCTGTATACAAATAGTCCATAACGGCCTTTCAAAAAAAAAAAAAAGTCCATAACTGATAAGTGATAACCAGATTATGTGAGATGTGAGGGTGCCTAGACAAATAGCAATTATGACCATTTGTGATGATCCTTTGAATTCCTACAGCCTTTTTCGAAGTAGATATTTGCTGCAAAAACATAAAAACCCTTCCCCGAGAAACTGATAATAAAATAAATACATCTATAAACAATTTTGAAAAGAATAATTTGGCATCATTAATGACAGGACATTGTCTAGTTCAGGACTAAAAAGCTTGAGCATCTGTGCCACTAGCGCGAGTTTGAGCCTCAGAGCAACTACTTTGTGAAATACCAAAGCTTAAGTACATCTTGAGTCCTCCCTTCCCAGGACCTTGTCATAGTGGGACCAAAACTGATTAATGCACTTTTATGATAAATTTTTCATCAATAACTACAGCAGCATTTCCCAGTTTTGCACAATTGCCAAAAAATGTATCATATTCGACCACTGAGAAAGAAAGAAAGAAAATATATATATATATATATATATATATATATATATATATATAATGATATAGTCTGAAAAATGAAAAGGAAAGTTTGCTCAATATGACTTTACCATTTTTTACATATGAATGTAAAAAGATGATAAGAATGAATATGTTCCTAGAGCTTAGAAATCCAGAGAAAAAAACAAAGAAAAAGTAAAAAGTCTTTATCATTATTTGAAATTCAACTGCCATTAGAACATGAACACTATCATTAACAAAGGATATATGCTTGAGGCTCTCTATTTGGCCAAAAGAGCAGCAGGCTACGCACCACATTATTGTTATGCTCATCAGAAAGCAAAGTGTTGTCTTCTGTGAACATGGCCAACTGTGAAACAAAATCATCATCATCTGCAGGAGGTTGAGGCACCTCCTCAGCAAAAGGCACAGCATTAGAAGGTCCAGCTTCAGACATAGATACGCTAGATGTAATTTCAGGTATTAACATGCTTGTCACAGAAGAAATGTTCTGGTTATTAGGCAGTACAAATGCTGCTGGGGATGGGGCATCTTCGACTTCATCATACCAATCTTCCTCACTAAATCGATCTCCATATTGCACACCATTTTTTGGACCAGGACCGCTCTTCTTGAAGATTCTACAGAGCACATATGCATCCTGCAATACGAAGAGCCCAAGAATTTCAACCGATAGTCACAAAAAATCCTTTTCACTAGCAATTCATAAAAGAATGAAGAATGGGGAAATCCTACCAACAGGGTTAGAAAGGCAAATGCATTACATGATGATCAATATACACACTAGATGCATGATTAAAACCAGATTCAACATATGCACCCAACAAATTGGGAGTGCTTGAGATATGGAGTTTACCATTATTGTCCTTACTTAGGTATATGAGGAGGATCATTGAAAAAGCATACAAAAACCTGTTTCCAACAAAGCAACACCCCAAACCAAAAAGCTAGCCAGTTTTTCTGCTATGTTGGTTACCCTCCTAATGTGGAATATATAAACTTCAAATTACGAATTAACATAAGCCTCAGGTTAAGATTGTATTCAATGAAAATTAAAGTGTCCAAAATTTTCAAAATGGACTTAAAACCAATTGTTTTTTAAATCCTTCAATTGGAAAACCTTTTGTTTGGACAAATTTTCAAAACCTAGGTACGTATTATTCAAACTCAAATTCTCTAACTCATGCTAGTCTATAAATAGGCTAGATTTTTCTTACCCTTGCTTATCTAGCACAAGGGATCATTGCCTAGTGCAAAGATATAAGCTCAAGTTGCCAAGCGTGAGAAAGCATGCTAGAGCCTTAATGCAACTACTTTGTGTAAGATATGTGAAGGTTAGGTCTGTCTCCAGTTCACTTCCTTCAGTACCATGCATAGACAGGACCTTAACCAAGTAACCGTCTATTTTAAGCAAGATAAATAAAATCAGAAAAATCCAATTATCCAGCATTCACTCAATATAAAAATAAATTGAAACATTAACAAATGATGCTGAAGTCGTGTGGAGTAATAAATCAATCTATTGTGATTTTAATCGATCAAGAAAAGAAAAAAAGAAAGAAAGTAGTTCTTTACAAGTGTTCCGGAGTTGTTTTTTATCCAATGGGGATATCAACAACTCACTTGCTCTTAATTCTTTGTTCTAAAAATTAGAAAATTGTAACTGTCTTGAGGAAATTTTATCCACTTGAACCCTCAAATCCCAACTTGATATCCCCGAGAAATTCAAGAACCCTCAACATATTTGCCAAAACAAAGGAATTTGAACAATAAATTCTAAATCCCCCTTTTGCTTCAAATTCTACCCAAATTCCTTATCCAAAACATGACTAGAAGGTAGATAGAGGGAATGGACCGGCTCCCTAGGATGTGATAAATCAGAGTACGCACAGTGCAATTTAGACCAGAGAGACGGGGAATAGTTGTTATGGATACTTTTGTAATAACTAACTTTTCAAACTTTAGTTAAACTATATCTAATTTACAGTCTGATTAGTTATCCATGTGTTTCAACCACAATAAAAAACACATAGAACAGTAACATAACATAAACCAGAGTCACAATTTGTACATGAAAAACTCTAAAAAGGGAAGAACAATGAAACCCTTGGTCCAGGCATGAACAATGCATTATAGAGAAAGGTTTAAAAACATCCTAATTTGGTGTACGTAAAGCCGTATGAAAGGAAACTTTCACATCCGATTTTGAGGGGGTGATCCGATAGGATCCTATCCCATTTTTCTTTTGCCAGACCCATAGGTAAAAAAAATACCACTTTCTTATGATTACAAGGTTCATTCGAATAAGATCCTCCTTGATCTTCGTTGCTACCAGTCAACAAACTTGACCATCTACAGGCTTGCTCTTCGTGGTGTTCAAATCCTTATTTTTCACAAATAAGTTCTGGTTGATTGGTTATCTAATACTTTTTGATATGCTTTTTATTTTGAACCACTCGGTCATATACAATGTTGTGTTCTTTAGAAACTCCAGATTTGATTCTAAAAGCTTTCACTTTTTAAAAATATAAATTTTCTCAATAATATTTGAGAGATAAAAGAGATACCCTAGATTGACTATGATCGCATTTTTATAGCCAATATAGGAGTCCTATATGAAATAAGTACAGTTCTGATTTCGGAGAGTTTCCAAAACTATTTCAATCCGAATTACTTGATTGACACATAGTTTGATCGGGCAAACTTATTTTAGTGGCCCTTGAGCGATATGCTATCTAGGTTCAGTCGATCAATGATAATGTGGTTTCGAGCGATCAAAATTTCACTTGACGCTTACTGTTTTTCCAACATTTTTTTTCAAAATTTCGATTGATCCTTCCATATTTTGGTAAATCGATGAACTACTTTTTGAAAAACTCCGTTTAAACATAATTTGAGGCGTAAGTGCTAGGTAGTCCAACTATCTAATAAATTGCTTCAATATACATTCCAATTTATGCTAAACTCTCATCTTACTTTAACTTATTATATATGTGACTTAGCTTGAGAGATTATCAGCGTGTTCTTCATTATTCTTCATTTTCATCATCTTCTTTTGGTTATAGATACACCGACTCAAAAAACTCTTCAATCTTACAATCCTAGTTTTAAATAGAAAATTGCCAACACATTACACAATATCCTAATAGGTAGGATTGGGGATTTCCTTTTTTTCAAAAAATAAATAAACAAATAAATAAAAATAATTTACTAAAGAATTTGCAATATATTCAGTTACTCACTAAAAGGGGCTAACCCAATTGGTAGCTCCTCCTCCCACATGGGAGGCCAAAGGTTCAAGTCCCATTTGGGACTATAATGGGTGTGGGTATCTTACCTGTGAAATATATACACACACACAAGTATATAAAGATTTGTAATATATTTATTCCCTTGGACCAAAGTCTACATATACAAGAAAACAACTGGCCCACACATGAAAAAAATGAGATTTACTCTGTAAAGTGGGCCCAACCCAGGGTTTGGATAATTGGGAAGGCAATGTAATCGGGAGAATCAACATCCCATAGTGCGTAAATAAGCATGTTGACACCATGTAAGATGGTTTCGCCATGTGCAGTGTTGCTAGTTAGGGCTGTAAATGAGTCGAGCCAAGCCTTGAGATGTTTGAGCTCGGTTTGTCAACTCCAGAAAGGTGCTCGAGCTCGAACATCTCAAAGCTTGGCTCGTTATACATACCCACAAAGAATCACATATAATCTGGTGGAAGAAATCATATCAACAAAGAATTGTCTGTGAATTCAATATGTGTGTGTGTTCATAAGAGTACATGGTGGAAGAAAATTAAGAAATCACTACCAATCTTGGTTCAATCTTCACCTCAATCTTAGTTCCACAGTTTCATGCATACCAAAGGACCTTCCTAATCAAGTAGTTGCCATCACAAATGATTCTTATTGGCTCGCCGATGGTGGTTTTCACTTTTCCCGTGGTTTTGTGGCTGCTGGCATTATTACCATCTCCAAAGTGTGTTTAGTGGGTAGGTTCTTAGAGTGTGTGCAGGTTAGGGTTTCTTTCAGTTGGAGAGACAAGGTAATAAATGATAGGGTTTTTTTATGTGAAAGGGGGCTTGGGAATATTACATAGATGGCAAATGGGCTTGGGCTGACTTCGTTTAAAAGAGACAAATTTGGGTTGGGTTGGTTGGGCTTGGGCTCATATATATATATATACATATATATATATATATATTTCCATTTATTAAAATAAATAAACAAATTAAACTTATATGTATAGATATATAGACACAAATATTCACGAGCTTGTTCACAAAAAAATGAGCCGAGCTAAGGGTTGCTTGAGCTTGGCTCATTTAATAATTGAGCTTGAAAATTTTGTCCAAGTTCGGTTCATTTACTAAATAAACAAACACAAACTGAGCTTTTATTGATACAAGCCCGAGCTGCTTGCGAACAACTCGGTTCATTTACAACCCGACAAAGAGTAGTTGCACTGGTTAGAAAAAGTTATATAGCTGTTGTTAAAGATAATGTTAGGGGAAGGGGAACGCCAAAACTAACATAAACTGAGATAATTAGGAAATATATGATAGCATGTGGTTTAATGGAGACCATGGCCTTAGATAGAGCAAAATGGTAAAAAATGATTCATGTATATGACACCAAATAATTGGAAAAAGGCTTTGTTGAGTTGTATGTTATTTTATACTTTGATGAATGTGAATAGGTAAATGAATGAAATAGTGTTGTTGTCATCAGACATCATGCAAGCACCAAACTGCCTCTTTTAAGTCCTCCCTTGCAATGATGTTTAGGGGGGATGGTCAGTCCCTAAACACTTTTCCCAAAGATCAGATTGATTCGGTTCCATACAACTAAACAACATCCCATAAATGCATTTTATCCACAAGGATAAAGTTCATTTAAAAGTGCCAGCAGCTATAGACAAGTCAAGGCGACAAGAAGACACCAGAAAGACACACGTGGCTAAATAACTGAGTCCCCCAACCCTGGTCTCTTTCATTATAGTCCTATTCCAATCCAAACACGGGAGACAAAAATTATGAAGATCAATTTATTTCACTTCATCTAAGAGCTATCATGTAGCATCTGTAACGACACCCCTCTCTTTCTTCTCTTTTCTTTTTCAACACACCAAGAACTCCATAGTAAGCACCATATAAGAGTTAAACTTCCACATTGGCGATGGATTATGACATATATACACTTGCACACATTGGCAGCATAACACATAGTGAATTTTGACAAAATATAAATACAACAGGTTTAAACAGATATAAACAATTGCCATAAGAGAACAATGAATCTGGAAACAAAAACTTCACACCCTGAGCAATAAAGGAATAAAGGATGAACTAAGAATTTACCTGAATAACTCCTGCATCAGTCAAATCCTTATCTTCAATCCTGTACTCGTGCATAAACCAATCTGTTCTTTCCACTTGTGGTGCATGACCCTGATGAAAAACCAACGTTTTCATGATTCCCACAGTTTTTTCATTGTGAAGAACACGTTTATCCTTACACGTGATTTTCCAATATCCATTTTCAGTTGTACGACTTGTTCTAATGCCACTTGCATATTTCCTCTCCCTTGGACAAAAGAAGTACCATTCACGATCCTTAGTTTTATTTCCTCTCCCTTGCAAGAAAGATTTATCTAGAGGAATAAAATCATCAGGTAAGAACCAAATAGAAAGCAGCAAATGCAATAAATTATGGAAAGCTTCTCATAACCTACCAATACGATAGTTTCTCAATGGAAAATAAAATGCAACATAGCTTGCTTCTAAACATTAAAATAAAGACCAGCTAACAAAAAAAGACAATTAAAATAGAAAGAAGAAAAAAAAACCTAGACCAAGTCAAAGGAACTTAGCGCGGAACAATAAAAAAAAATGATAGGTCATAAAGACAATATCATGTAACAACCAACTGTATACATCACAAATATCAAAATGATGTACATTAATACATATAAAAATTATTAATACCTCGGAGATCCCATGGAGAGAACTTGTATATGTTGAGCTCTGAAATGGCTTCAATGGGGAATTTTTTCCCCATTACCTTCCTCTTAAGGTAGTACTTAACCAGCTCTACATCAGTAGGATGAAAGCGAAATCCTGGAGGAAGGAACATTCTTGCCATATTGAATGCCAATAGAAGATCCCACAATCCAATAATTACTGAATAAAATTATACGAATCTTGTCTTGTCTTGTAAACCAGAAAACGATAAACCCTTCAGTTCCCAGAAAAATATTGCCTTCCCAGTATGTAAATCTGGTGGAACCTAGGAAACAAGAAGAGGGATGTGTATGTGTATACCAACAAATGCTTTCCAGAAAAATTTCAAATCATGTCAAGTCCAATGCCGGAACAAGATCTTCCGAGAATAGCACAATCTGCCACAGTTCATGAAACAGAAAGTACACTGGAGAAACCACTGATGCTTCTTGATAGAGTCACAAGACATTTAGTATGCGAGAAAACCCTGATGTTTTCAATATTATTAGCCTCACATAGCAATAGCTCAAATCCCAAAACAATTACACATAAAATGAAAAGGGAAGCAACAGAAATATTGACTTTTAATCAAAAGAAAGTAATCCCATATGAGATTGGCAAACAAAAAGTATAAAACTCAACAAAAACCTCTTCTGAACTACTTGGTTAGGACTACATGAACCTTATGTTTCCATTCCGCTCTATCTAAGTTCATAGTCTTAGTCAAATCACATGTTTTCCTTACAAACTCTCTACCCATGTTAACTTTGGTCTTTCCCTTCCCCTAGCATTACCCTCAATTGGTGCACTTAGTGGACTTCTTTGCACAGGGCCAAACCATCTTAATCTATTTTTCTCATTTTAGCTCCAATTAATGCTAATTCAACCATCTTAGGAATGTGACGCGCATCCATTTCAATCAGAAAGCATATAAACAAAGCAAAAGTCCCAAACATGAAACAACAAAACCCAATTCCTCAACTTCCCAAAGTGGAAGGTTAAGGTTCAAGTCATCGTAGGTGTAAAAGATAACACCTGAGAGCGTATGCATGAACAGTAAGAAAACATGAGATAGCCAAATTACACAATGCACTGAAAATTCAAAAACATATGGTATATACAAATATACACACACAAAAAGAACGAGACGTGTATACGGAGAAAGCCACAGAGAAAGCACAGAACCAACTCATAAGCAAAAACAAAGCAGAGATACAACGAGAATTCCCTGAAACATAAAAAGCCCCAATATATCTAGCATAAAAAAGCAAAGCAAATCGAGAAAGATAAAAGGCAATAAAAATGATTAAACTCCAACAGAAAGGAAAAAAAAAAACCTAGAAATCTTACCTGAAAGGAAGAAACGATCGGAAGGAAGAAAATTGTGTTGAAAGTACAGAGAGAGAGAGAGAGAGAGAGAGAGAGAGAGGAGTCTGCTTAGCTCTTATGGGAGGGAAGCTTCCATGTGAATTCACGGCATTTTTTTTTTTTTTTTTTCACGACATTTGATTGGTCACATTATTTTATGTTGCATTCAAATATTAGTATATATGTTCGAAAAAAGTAACATATTTTTATTATATTGTTTTATTACGTATAATTAGATGCCCATTTTTTAGATACTAATGGTATAATAACTAAGGATCGAGTGCTCTATTTATAGTTATTTATTTATTATTATTTTCCCTTCTTTTATTTCTTTTAAGGGTAACTAATAAGTGCATTTAGAAATATGTAAAATTCTCATTTGCATTAAAAAATTGACAGGTTAGGTGTGTTTATTGTATTTTATTTAACGTAATTAGTTGTTTAATCAGTCAATGTGTTCAAATTTTTGGTTCATCAGACCGCACAGGTAGAAATTTATAAAATCTTATTCATATATGTGTTATAATGGCAGTTAATATTTTAATATGCATGAGCTCTTGGAATAACTGATACTTGGGAATAAAAAAAAAGAGAAAAAAAGAAAGTAACTGATATGAATATTATAATGGAATGCAATTCATTGACATCTAACCAAACAAACAAACAAACAGAGATGGCTAAAAACTAGCTGTCCAATGTTATAATCGTAAAGCAAAAAGGTATTTTTTTAACACGAGACTGCAAATTTCGACCCAAGTAGGAGAGATCATGGGAACTATCAAAATAAAGATACGAAGCATTCACTTCCTCAAATGAGAGCAAAAAAAAAAAAATTGATATTTTTAAATTTTTTTTATTTTAATGAAGATGTTCAATAAAATCGTCATTATTACTTAAAATTTTGTCTTATTTTAAGTGACATTTAATCGTTAAGTGATACTCAATTGCCTTACCATACACACAGTTGGTTAAGCACTTAATTCTGAGAAAATTCTCGAGTGTTGAATTCTGAGCCTGTAAAGCTTCACTACAACACAAAATGGCAACATATAAAAGATATATACATACAAGCATTGGACAAAGAGGAGTAATTATTTCTACACCCTGATATTTTACAAAAATGGGTACCCGGAAACGGTACCACCAAGCTTCCACACTTACATATGATTAGTGTGTTGAATGAATAAATTGCACAGTAAAATTAACTGTGACTAATCGAAAATATTATATACAACACAACCAGATGCTGTCTTTCAGACAATTTTTCCAGTGCAAATAACAACTCATGCAAGTATGGAAGAATCGTCCTCAAAGAAATGACGCAATCAAAGGGTCGAGACCAATAAACAACGGCAGGCCACCTTTTCCTATGTCAGTATCCGTCAGTGCTCCCTCCAAAGAAAACTGGAAGCGGCAGACGGAGAGTGGAATATTTTGCTGCTTCAAATTGCAAACTGTGTCGCAAACACCTTAATCATCTGAGAAACATGGTCCACCAGCCATCTCATGTTCGGTCTCTGTCTTCCCCATTTGAATCACACTGTACAGAATGTGCCATCCAAAAAAATGAGGGTGCAATTATCACGTTCAAGTCAAATTGAGGTATCCCACCAGCCAGCAGAGTTCATCTTTCATGAAAGAAAACGTTAAAGGATAAAACTTCAAACAAATCTCTGCTGAATGGATTTAGCCCGGTAGACTTCAAACAAGTAACTTCTGCCGATACAATTACAAATTTCTCAAACCAAGAAATAACAGTTCACAAACTGCTATCAGTGATTCTTTCACCAGAAAAAAACCTTTGGAGGCCATCCTTCAATGAACCAATGGCCTCTTACCACACACTGATCTATGAAAGCAATTTTTTTATGGGAATGATCCTCTAAAATAGCTTTCTCAAAGTGCACAATAATGTAATGGAAATATTGGATCCAAACTCATAATATCCCATTCAAAACCCTCTGATAATAATCATATTGACGTGTCCGCCATGCATCTAAGCTGCTGCTGATAAGGGATAGCACCAAGGACACACATTGCTGCTAGAAAACAACAGCTTCTGTTATCACATACAAATAAAATTGCTGCACAGTATTGAGTTAATAATAGAGTAGAAACCAAACCTCTTCAGTTAAACTAAGATGAAATCTTTTCCTCAAGTTTTGTATTGTACGAGGCCCACCCTTGAAGCATGGGAAACCGGAATCCTGATCCAAATATGAGAGGAGTAAATACTAGTTGTTAATAAAGGCAAACCATCTTTTTTAATTCTGCACACACAATTCCAAGAATAAAATCATTTCTATTATTTTACTTCATTTTGTTACTATCAAGTGAACATAAAATCATTATTATGTTTTAGTGTCACGCGACTCATGCCATTCTAATATTGGAAAAGAAACGCCATTCTGCAGGAATTTAACTTCAAATTTTGCAAACATCATCAGTTGAAGCTCAGAGGTTGGTTATGCTTGATCGACAAGAGTGCACTTCAAGCGGTTGATTCTCACATGTACTAGCCACAAAAAAAATTAAATATAACTAATATAGGGCTAGACTGGAGAATTTCTCAACAGGGCATGTTTGGAACACGAATGGTTAAAAAAAAACAATAGCCCATTGATTTTAAAGGGCTTAAATACTATTACATACTGTGGGCTTCTTGAAGTGACAGCCAAGTTTTAACACTTTTAGGCCTCACATACGTGCGCCTGCCCCGCCAAGCTAAGCTCATCCAGTCACGCCACGTCGTGACTTGCGTTAGCTGAGGTATGGCGTCGCTTGGCACACATGGGCTTGATAAATCTTTTTATCTGACCACTTGAAATCATGTAACCATGGAGAAGTTACATGGCTTAATAGCAAATTAATATTAGGGTTTTATAACCACAAATATTTTGTCTGTCAAGTATTAGTCCGATAATGGTCAATTATTTGCACTATTCAAATTCCATCAGTCACTAGTTGCTGGGGTTTTAAACTGAAGCAGCTGAAGTGACCTACAAATAGTGGGCTAGTTCTGCAGAGTGCAGACAACAAACAACTGAAAAACATTCTCCTTTAATATTCTACAACAATTTCTCTACGAATTTTGCTTCTCTCCTACAAGAATTCACTCACATTCACCTTTCATTTTTCCAGAAGTATTTCATATATACTACACTTTTGGGGTGAAGAATTCATGACTTAGTACTCTGCAAGTTTAGGAAATGTAACTTGTAACCTTCGTCACAGCCAGCACATGCACATGGGGAAGCTATGCAGGCTTTAGGACATTGCCTTTTATGTGCCTCTCTGTAAGGCCAGCCTATTCTAAATACTCCCATACAAGTCATGCCAGAAAAATAACAAGGCCCAAGTGAAGGTGACGAGATCTTGATTTAGTAGTCTGCAAGTTCAGGAATTGCAACTTGTAAACTTAATCAACGATAGCACATGCACGTAAGGTATGAAGGCTTTAGGACAGCACCTTTCATGTGCCTCTCTGTCAGGCCAACCTATTCTTTTAATATAGTTCTTTTAATTTCTTTTATTCACTTTATCTAGCAGTTGATATTACTTTCAATGTTCAGTTAATGATATTACATATTATTTATGCAAACTAGCACGCGCGCGCACACACATATTTACATGTATATTTCAAGTCTAGTATGATTAAAATTGTATTTCTACTAATCATATTTATCTTAGTTATTTACTATAAATTATTTGTAAGGCATATATAAAATCTATAACATTCTAACACTTCTGTGTTCAACTCTGTAGTTTAGCATTTTAGAAGAAATGGAAACATTTTTTTTTAAGACCTGCCTTGGAAAGAAACACACCCAGTTTGCCCCTATGGGGACTTGAGCCCTCGACCTCCTACTTTGGAAGGCGATAGAAGTACCACTAGGCTATAGCCCTTGGTGAAACGGAAACAGAATCTTTGTTCCAAATATTTTAAAGTTTGCTTCAAAAGTAAAAAGACGGTTTACTGAAACAGGAATTAGAAAAAGAAAAAAATTATAACAATTGTAAAAAAAACTGTAAAACAAATCTATTGAATAAATATATATACATATATATAAACTTAACTTACAAAGAAACAATTTCATAAAAAATAAATAAATAAAATTCCTCTCTACTTAAAGGAAATAGGATCATACCTTTTAAAAAATAAAAATAAAAACAGCACAGTTTATTTTCAAAGAATGATAACAGCACTGTTTTAAGAATATGAAAACAGCATTGTTCATTTTTTTATTATTGAAAAATGGAAATATTCTATTTAATCAACAGTTTATATATATATGTGTGTGTGTGTGTGTGTGTGTACACAACAACTATCTTGAATGAGCTTTATGTATATACAGTTCCCTTAAGAGGAAAAAAAGAAGTTGGTTTGTATATTAAAGCTAATTGTTTTAAAACAGCTTTAAAAAAATATACAGTAGTTTACTTCTGTTGGGAAAAAAGAGACTTTATTTTTATATTGAAAAGGTGTCAAGGGCAAGGCTTCTTCAGTAGTTTTGGAACATAGGAAAAATTATAAAGAAATACCTAGTAATGTTCGTAACTCTAATAGAACTCCCATAAGAGGTGGAAATAAATATATTTGAACCCACTAGATAGTGATGGTCACATGGCTTAGAGGCTAGATAGTGATGGTCACATGAACACAGTCACGGATACATTGGCTTAAAGCAACTAATTATTGGGCTTTAATCCACACGTTTGGTCCATTAAAACAATTTATTTTCTCCATTTATTTGTCCAATTATGGCCATTTATTTGGGGTTTCAAAATCCATCAAATACTAGCCGTTGGGCTTTTAAACCGAATCAGGCCATGTTGCCATAAAGAGTGGGCTAGTTCAATAGACCTGTATACAACTAAAAATCCTCTCCTGCAAGATTTTTACAATTACCCTTCATTCGTCCCAGGACTATTTTCATAGATGCAATCACAATTTTTGGGCATCGAGATGACGATTTGTTAATAAATCTCTCTATAGATGTACACGATATAAGACATTAATGTCAAAAGAAATCGGAAAACAATGATGAGAATAAAAAAGAGAGAAAATGGAAGACAAAAAAAGGGGAGGCGGGGGAAGAAAAAGGAGATGAAAAACACTTCCAAGTGTAAGAAAAAAAATAGAAAAAAGGGAGAGGGGGGTAGGGGTTGGGGGGAAGAAGAGAATATAATGACAAAAACATTTTGATATATGTAAATATTATAGATTATAGAATTAGATATTATATTCTGTCAGATCATATTATTATCGGATCTTGGATTGACCATAATCCATATCCGATTTGTTTATGTTGGATTTTGTTCCTTAACAAGTTATCGGATTATATCTTCAATTCATATCCGAAATATCAGTCAGATTCAAATTAAAATCCGATCCATTGACAGGCCTAGTTGGAAGCATTGGAAATATATCTTGGAGCTTTTGCAAGACTGCAAGCACCTGCATAAACGTAGGGATGCTACAAAGGCTTTAGGGCAACGTTTTGCGCATGCTTCTCCATCAGGGCATCCTAGTCTACTCTATTTTTTTATTTACAAACAGGAAACAACCACTTCATAGCTATGCTGCATACATCTGACCCAAGACCCCACATCGTGGCCTAGGATAGCCCACTTTAATTCCCTCAACTTATCTGCTGACGTTACAGTCAGCATTGGTTAATTAGCAATTTTGTATAGCTAGCATCATTTGATATTTAGTGATATATACCTTCCAAAAGATTTTTTTTTTTTTTTTTTTTTTTTTTTAAAAAAAAAAAGAAAAAAGAAAAGAAAAGAAAAGAAAAGAAGAAGATATATAGTTACACACAAATTAGAGCGCGCACATGCACACACGTATTTGTATATTATGCTGACATTGTGTGATTAAAATTGTATTTCTTCTAATCATATTTATCTTAGTTGTTTATAAATTATTTGCCAAGAAGTACTCAAACCTACAACTGGCCATCCCAGACAAAACCATATCAACAGTAACAACACAACAACGGGCAACATATGAACCTCTGGAGCCAGTGCAATTGATATATGATCAAAAGGAAAAATCACAAAAATCTGCAAGAAATGAGCAACTACTGAAGAATAGTTGGGTCGTAGAAATTCCTTAATCTGTGTTACCTGCAACATCTCGACAAGAAGAATTATCCGCTCTGCATGCTTACGACATGTTAGGAAACCTTGAATGCATAAAACCTAGATACACAAAATGAGCACTAAAAATATAAGTAAAATAAAGGCTATTTGAGGGCATTATAGTAAAGAAAGACCATATGAGAAATACATCAATACCTTAAAGTAGTCAAAAAACTCGCTGGGAATTCCCTCAGCATCAGAATCCATGACCTAGCACAAGCCCAAGATATTAATCAATTCAGATTAAAAGAACTGATAAAAATATATATAAATAAAATTAAAGATGAAATAACATCAGCACAAACTAAAGCTGTGAAATATATGTAGAGAAGTAAATTAGCTTTGATTAATTGGTGCAGGGTTCTCCAAGCCAGCCCATTACAGTTTCAGGGATTGGTTGTCACTTGCCCCACTCTGCCCCAGCCCTGTTATACTAAGTCCCCAGTGATTAATTTGCTTTCAACTTGAGCCAAACAAAGTTTTTTTAGTACAAGGAACATGAGGACGGAAATTTATGTAAGCTTCTTAAACTTCATCCACTGATAATATCGGACAGCTTGTTCATAAAAAGACCTTTTTTTTTTTTCCTAGTTGGACTCACACACATGTATCTTCTAAGACTTGAACCCCTAACCTCCCTTTGGGAAGTAAGAGACCGATACCGCTAGGCTACTGGCCGGTTGGGTTTTTTTTTTTTTTTTTTTTTTTTGATAAGTATAAAAAGACCTTTTTTAAGTGGAAAGAGACCTAAGAACTTGTTGCCTACCAGCTATGTTTTGCAGAAGCTGCTTGTCCCACATCAGGAGTTTCAAGAAATTGAAGACTTGAGACTACAAAAAGCAGAGTAACCTTGTTTCTTCACAAAATTGTAGTTGTCTTATGGCATGTCCTATGTAGTTTTTTAATGAATTCAAAACTTTTTCTTTTGATGATATTTTATAAATAATGAACAAAGAGACATAAATTAATAACTTGTGGCCTTCAGGGAAACCAACACAACCCGCTATTCCTTTTTTCCTAATTACCCACTTACCCTGCCTGACTATGGTATGGGACGTATTCAGGAAAGGGTTCTCAAAGAAATGAACCCGCCCCAAACCCAACCTAGTAACATCACTATAATATATAATGAAAAAAGAAAAGAAGAATAATCTACAAGCACAGTAACAGAGATACAAATTGTGTTTCAGCATTGGGTTTGTTTGTTCAATTGGAATGGTATTTACAAGTACGAGATTAATCCATTATTTAATTTTGGATTCACCACAATTAGTTTATGTATGTACATAAAACATATAATTGTTATAATAGAATTACTGATCTTATAGTGTACTCAAATGGGTTACGTTAAAAGACTCACAAAAAATGGGAGTAATATAAAGTTTTGGCTACCATCACGATAGCTTTTTCGTTCTATCTCAATAATTCGAAAATTTCATATTTTAGCATCAAATAAATAAGAAATTTCTGTACATCACATCAATTTTCACTAACTAAAATTTTATTTTGGGGATCTGTCGCAACAAAACATTCAATAATACAATTCAACAATGTCCTGGGCTTTGGTTTCAGATTCAAACAGGGGATACAATACCAATTCAACCACATCTGAGAAAAGGAAACACAAAGAAGACAGAGAAAAACAAAATTAAACACAGAAATGAAACAGCCGTTTCATAATTAATCAACTCCCATAAGAGCATAAAAACAAGAAGTGAAGAGAGCGTGGGGAAGCTAATTAATAAAGTCAATATCAGTGGTAATTTGATGAATCAAGGGCTGGAATCGTTTGGGCAGCAAGGTAACTTGAGGAGACAGAACCGTGGGCAAGGCTATGTATAGAAATGCTCCAGTTGTTTTGTATAATGATGCTTGATTTACTGTAATGCCCACAACATATTTCAATTTAAAAAACAACCTGTAGATCAAGGCGTCTGCACCCCAAAATATGAGCCCAGCCAAAATCGAAGAGTTTGTGTACCATTTTGAAGCAACAAAAATAAGCGTTTCGAGCCTACACAAGCCATACAGATTAAACAAAAGTGGCCTACCTCAAGAAGTTCACGGGTTAACTTAAATGGAGCACTTTCGAAATTTACACCACCAGGTGAATTAGACAGCATGAAGCCAAAATCAATATGTATAATATGCCCTTCTTCATCCATCAAGAGGTTCCCATTGTGGCGATCTTTCACCTAGACAAGAATTAGAAAATTGTGAAAAAGTGCATTTACACCACGAGGCAACTAGACTCATTCAAAGCCTCACAAATGCAACAAAATCACATTTTATAGTCCAGCATAATGTGCGCATATACTAGCTAATGAATATTGAACCCCTATTAGCATGATGAAAGTGCTATGAAGCATGGACCAAGGTTTTAGAAAATGGTCATTACATGATCGTAGTGACACCATTACATGATGGTATCAGCATTTATAACAATGAATTATATGTTAAACAATATATATTATATCATATTTTTATTTTCTTATTTAATTTAATATTTAATAATATGTAAAATAGATGATATAATATATTCCTATATTATAGTTATAATGTTATTTTACATTATTAAAATTTATAGGGTTATTTTACATTAATTTTATAAGATCATATTATAAATAATGCAATAATATTAAATTAAATTATGTATATAAAATAAGATAAAAATAATATTAAAACAACATAATGTATAGTATCATACAAAGTCATATAAATTGATAGTATAGTATAATTTTAAATAATACATTATAACATCATATTATTTTATTATATATATAATATAATGAAATTATGAAAAAATTTATACAATTTAATGAGGTGATATTATATTAAAAACACAATATAACAGAATAAATTATATTTTACTATATTTTAATAAGTTCTGTTGACTAATTTTATTGAAGAAAAAACAAACATTAGAATTCGAATGACGAGTCCGTTTCATATTTGTAACCAAACAATGGAATAAGAATAACCATTTCATTCCTACATCCTTCTCAATCCATTCCTTCCTTCACTTCACTCCTTCATTCCTGCAAACCCGGCGTTTTTGGCAGAAGGAATGGAGGAAAACAAACCCAATATCATTTCGATGTAGATACTTCATTTGATAGAACATTTAACAGACTTTGTTATGCTAGACAAATTTCATAATAACAAGCAATGTAGAAAATTCATGTTAATAGTTAGATTGTATACACATTATATAGCATAAAAACAATTTGCAACCTCTTGAACCATTTTCATGACTGAAGAAGGATGAATAGACATGCCTCCTAGAACCTAAGAAGTATATTCTATGCATTTATCAAGGAACCAAGAGACCTAAGCAGCACCTTTCCAGTCAAAACCCTCTACCATCAACATGCAATATATATAGATCCAAGGAAAGAAAAAGATAAAAGTACAAACTGACTGCATTTAATGCATCTTTCTGCGACTTTGAGAGAGAGAGAGAGACAGACAGACAGACCTGCAATAGGTAGCAAACCAAAGAATATCCAGCCATACTTTCAACAAAGTTCCTCTGCAATGAAAAATAGATACATTATAACTGGAATGCCAAGTATTTCCCAAAAGTAAAATAAATTTCAATCCTTTTCTAAAGAACATTAGGTATATAAAAATATACATATATGAATCATGAAAATATAATCAGGAGAATCTTGATGTAGTTTAACAGTAGCAGACAATTGGGTAGGTAATTTTTTTCTATAAAAAAAATAAAAAAATAAAAAAATAAAAAAAAAAATAAAAAAGAAGAAGAAGAAGAAGAAAGTTGTTTCCTCAGCAATGAGTTCCTTGCGAGCCTGATTATTTATAGGCTCTTCATAAGATCTTTCTTTTTCTATAAATAAATTTCATACGCAAAAAATATGGGTGATAGGTGGGGATTATGTCATGAATTCGCACAAAGCTAATTCAAATTTGAATTCAGTCATAGTAAATATTAATGCATTCAAACCTGAACTAAATATATTAAGATGGACAAGACATATATCATAAAAGAAAATTAAGAATACCCGTATAATTAGGAATCTAAAATTAACAGCAATCTATCAATTCTGTTAAGAATTTTCCCCAAAAAACAGGATACAAAACCATATCATTCAGCGAGAAAATTATTTTACTTGCACCTTTTATTATTATTAACTATATAATATTAATTCCGGGGAAAAAATGTGAGATAAAATATCATTCAGCAAGCATATTGACCAACATAATCAACAAAATTGAGTAGAAGCAACAGGCTCGCTCTCTCTCAAATTCTAGAGAGAGAAAGCTTTCCCCTAGATTATTTCTTGCCTTCATCCCTTCGCTTGAGGATCAGATTTAGGATTGCAAGATTGTATAAGAATCCCTTTAATTGAAAATACTCCTAATTTAAAATAAACCTAAGGAGAGAGGGCGGGGAGGGGTTAATAGGTCTTACGCAAAATTTCAAGGTTGTCGGGAACAGCTGTGCAGGATAGATGCGAGTTAGATAGGATTGAGACCGAGGATCTTGAGATTATACAAGACTCCTAGAAAAAAGAAAAAAAAAAACACAAACTAACTTTCTAAATTATAAATTTTCGATATAAATGGATAATAAGGATAAATCAGCATTCTCGCAAAATCAATTAACATAAGAAGATACTAAGATAGTAAGACACATGACAATCACATGAAATCAATTTCTTGATTTTCTTTATACGAAGCATCAGCATAACAGTCAACCAAAAAAGAAGAATTTAGTTGCCTTATTATCTGAGCAATTTAGTTGAAAATATTATTTTGGTTCAGAATGGACAAAGAATAGAAGGCAAAACGGAGTTCCCAAAGAAAAAAGAGAGAGAGAGAGAGAGAAATCAAGACGAACAAAGAATAATAGTGAAATTTTTTTAAGTTTTGAGCCATCCCTTTGAAGTTCAAAGATGATCGACGTTGGGTTTCTGCTCCTTTTTTTTTTTTTTTACTTTTTCAAATGCGATTAGACTAAAGAGTTGAACCTTACATGTAAAAGCCTTAAATTTCTTTCCCAAAATGGGTTATAGACTTGACTAAACCTAGAACAACTAAACAACACGATTTAGTTAGATCAGTAATATCGTGTATGATCCTATGCAATTATATGATCCAAACGATCCTACTGCAATCCCACTTCTAAGAGACTTTCCATGCAATCCGGATTGGTTCAGCGATCTTGGTTCATCCAATCCTACTATCCATATCGGGATTTTAACAGCCATGTCTCCCTCCATCCCTTCCGCTCCGATTCTCGTCCTTCCACCCTCTCGCAAGGGTACACTCCTTCAAAACAGTCCATTCCATATAGGAACTTAATGCTATGTGGTCTACAGGTTTGGAATGGAAAGGGTGGTTAAGCTGTCGGTCTCCACCACTACTCGAACGTGTGGTTTATTGTGTTGGTCAGATGCTTATGTCTGTGCAGCTTCTTCTACTCCTCCACTCTGGTTTCAATACCCTTAGCGTCAGATTAAATGTGGGACAATATATCATGACTGGTGCGTGCTTGAGCAATTAGATAGGTAATCAACGACTCCCTTAAAAACAACTTCCGGTGAGGCTTAAAAGAGTTGCAGCTTTCAGCACTCATGATAATGTCACCCATGGCTTCCATATGTCGAAATATGCACGTTTAATTAGATCTATAGGAGGGTGAACAGATCTTCTAGAAATTAATTTGAAGCTAACTTTCTAAAATTACTGGTACTCCTTATGTTAAGTTTCAATCAATTAGTTTGATTCATGTCCCAAAAGCAATCACACATAAAATAGTTAATAAATAAACAGAGACAAGATTTTTTTAAAGTAAAAACCCTAAAAAGAGAACAATAACGTGACTTCATCCAGCCATCAACAGTCCACAATCCACTGTAAGAAAGAAATTTTACAGCCAGATTACTAAATTTCCACCATATAATCTCCGAGTTACCTCCTGACACCAAACTCTCCGCTCAAGTGTCCTGGTCACCTGCTTCATCAACAGATCCGCGCCTCAAGTGATACACTTTTTCATTGTTTATTCAATCCTTGATCTTTAAAGTACTCAATTGAATTGCAGTTTATTTGTCATCTTTGATGTGCTTTTTGCGGTTTGAACCTCTCAACCACATATGATGCTATGGTAAACCCTAAATTGAGTGTGATAGTTTTTTGATAAGATGTATTAGAAAGCATTACTAATCCAAAAAAGATATATGAGTGCCATATAATTATAAATAAAAATTAAAAAAGATATAGGAGTGTAATATATCCATATGTTCATACTTCCAATGTAAGCCTTCCATTGATATGTTATTCCTAGAGTAGTAGTGTTTGGAATAGTTTACTAGTAGGCTAGTAGCAGTATCAGAAGTAAGTAGTATGATACACAGAGAAGAACAAGCATGGAAGAGTACTTGCACCTGCTGCTTCTCAAAAATCATTTACCTGTGCAAGTTTGAAACTTGGAGAATTCTCTTGATACTTGGCAATGAAAAATTCACGTAAACTAGCGATGTTCGGGAATCTGCTTTTGATAGAATGAAGTGAGGCCTACAGGAAAATGAAACATTTGTAATGGTGATGCAAGGACTTCACATTCCAAGTTCACTGAAGGCCTGAGAAAATTACCGTATCCGGAATTGTTTCAATGAGTGCTGTGTAAGAAGAAGTAACCAAGACTTCATAAGGACGCAACCAAAGAGGTAGACCTGCTTCTTGAAATATATCTGCCATCACAAATCAACAATGAAAAGCTTTCAACCAGCTACAGAGAATATAATAAAAAGAAATATCAACATTCTTAAGTTAAAGTTTTGCTTAATACTGCCTGCCTGCTTTCTTCCTATGGCAAATGGGGACGGAGCAAATTTTTCATGGTAAAGAGAAACAAACCACAATTATGATTGCTTCCATTTACAAAGAACAAATAAGCAATTCACATTAAATCATGACTGTAGATTATAAGCAAATAAGACAACAAAAGTTGTAAAGGCTGTCACATCAAGAACTAAACTATTCAAGGTTTCAAACTATTGCGCAGAAGAGAGAGAGAGAGAGAGAGAGAGAGAGGGAGGGAGAGAAACTATCTTCTCTTGTTCTGCATATAGGATCTCTAAACAAGAATAAAAGATAAAAATAATAATGATAATGATAATTTTTTTTTTTTGACAAGTAAGAAGTAAATAAAAAGGCGTTCAAAAGTGGAACACGTCCCAATTACAAAAATGGAACCGGGGACTAAGACCTAAAGAATCCAAGAAAATAATTAAATCATCGAAAGAGGAGCAAGAACTCCTCGACATAATTAAAAAGCGAGCGAATAATAAAAAGTTTCAGCGTTGCCGTAGACAACTCCTTCCCTTTGAACATTCTGCTATTTCTCTCCTTCCAGATGCACCACCAAACGCAATGTGGGGACAACTCTCCAGTAATCGCGTTCATCTCTTCTCACACGACATCCTTTCCAAGCTTGAATCAAATCCTTAGAAGAACGTGGTGTTACCCAACGCATGCCAAACAACCTAAGAAAAAGATTCCAACAGTCGTGTGCCACGAGGCAATGCATGAGTATATGATCAATTGACTCACCATCTTGCTTGCATAGGCAGCACCAATTGACAAAACAATTCCCCCTTTTCCTCAAATTATCAATCGTTAGTATCTTACCCCAAACAGCGGTCCAAACAAAGAATGCCACCTTAGTTGGAGCCATAGAGCGCCAAATGGTCTTCCACGGAAAGTCAAGGCTATCAAAATTAGATAAACATAGGAACAAAGATCGCACTCCAAAGTGACCATGGGAAGAGGGAATCAATGTTAGATCATCATTACCTCTGCTAACTCCTTCCTGCCAATACAACTGATCCAGGAAAACACAAACCTCATTCAACTCCCAATCATGAAAGGAAAGTCGAAAGTGTGCATTCCACGTAATCCCACTACTATCAAGCCGATAACAGTCAGCTACGTAGGCGTGTCTATCAACTACAATACTATGTAGTCTGTGAAATGTACGAGATAATGGCTGATCACCATACCAAAGATCTTCCCAAAAACGAACACATCTGCCATCACGAACTTTGAATCTGATATGAGAAGAGAAGACGTCCCATCCCTTCCGAATGGAATTCCACATCCCAACTCCTCCCACAAGAGTAACCGGACAAGTAGACCAGCCACCAATCTCTTCCCCAAACCGGCATGAGACAAACCTTCGCCAAGGTTTCCCTCCCAAATCTCCACAACCATTTGCCCAGGAGAGCTTGGTTAAAAGGAACCAATCTTCTGATACCAAGACCACCCAACTTCATAGGCTTGCAAACTTGCTCCCATTTGACAAGGTGATACTTAAAACTCTTCTCCACTTCTGCCCCAAAGGAAATCCCTTTGAATTTTTTCAATCCTATCAGCAACGGAGCATGGAATTTGGAACATAGATAAAAAATATGTAGGAAGGCTTGATAAAGTGCTCTTTATAAGAGTAACTTTACACCCCTTAGATAAGTATTGCTTCTTTCATCCTCCCAATCTCTTCGCACACCTGTCATCACAGGGTCCTAACTGCCCACTCTCCTGGAAGAAACCCCTAGAGGCAAACCCAAATAAGGAATGGGAAAAGAACTCACCCTACAACTAAGAACTGCAGCTAAAGAAGAAATATCCTGAACATTCCCTACCGGGACAAGCACGCTCTTAGCCACGTTAACCTTCAATCCGGAAACAGCCTAAAAACAAGCCAGGATACACCTTAAATATCTAAGTTGAGACACATCAGCATCACAGAAAACCAGGGTATCGTCCGCAAAAAGTAAATGAGAAATCTCCACCTGATGGACTAAATCTCTTCCCACCTTGAAACCCTTAATAAGACTAAGATCCTCTGCCCTTCGCATAAGTCTGCTTAAGCCCTCCATAATAATAAGAAAAAGGAAAGACGACAAAGGATCTCCTTTTCTTAAACCCCGAGAACACCCAAAAAAAAAAAAAACCAGCAGGAGATCCGTTCACAAGAAATGAGAACTTGACTGACGAGAGACATGTCTCAATCCATTTCCTCCATCTACTTCCAAACCCCATTCTTTGCAACAACTAAAGTAGGAAATTCCAATTCACATGATCATATGCTTTCTCAATATCAAGTTTGCATAAAACTCCAAGAACACCACTACGCAACCTGGAATCCACACATTCTCCTGCAATAAGAACTGAGTAAAGAATTTGCCGGCCTCCGACAAAAGCATTATGGGAATTTGAAATAATCCCATCCATTACTTCCCTCATCCTTAGAGCAAGCACCTTAGCCATGAGTTTGTAAATACAACCCACTAAGCTAATTGGTCTAAAATCCTTAATGTCAGAAGCGCCTCCCTTCTTAGGGATAAGGGCAATAAATGAGACATTTAGCGACTTTTCAAAGACGCCAGTAGCATGAAACTCCTGAAATGTACCCATCACCTCGTTTTTCACTACCGCCCAACTTTCCAGAAGAAAACGCACAGTAAACCCACTAGGTCCTGGAGCTTTGTCCCCATTACAACTAAATAAAGCATTTAGTTGAAAATAGAGACCGTCAAGTTTGGGTCTCCAAGCTAACGGCTCGATGTAAAGCTTCTGATAAAAAGAAACGATCCCATTACGTACCTCTTCCTCCCTCCACACCTCCACACCTTCCACCCGAATTCGACCAATGTGATTACTCCTTCTATGAGCCTTAGCTAGTCTATGAAAAAAATTTGTTCCACCATACTAGCAATCTCAGCTTTTGCTGTCTGACAGGAAGCTCTCCTAGAACGTAGAGACTCCACGTCCCTGCCCGCCTCCTCAAGACGATCAATCTCGGAGAATTAAGCAAGGACTCTATTCTTCCTCCATTCAAGATTCCCAAAAACATCCTTATTCCACTTTTTAACATCGAATTTGAGAGTTCTCAACTTCTTTGTTAACATAAAGCTGGGCGAACCTGTAACTATTGCTCCCTCCCACCAAGAACGGATATTCCCTTGGAAGTCCTCCACTCTCAGCCACATATTCTCAAATCGAAACGGGGATCTTAGAGAACACAAGCCCCCACAATCCAAAACCAAAGGAACATGATCAAAGGTAACCCTTGCTAAAACCGCCTGAACGACATCCAGGAATTTCTTTTCCCACTCTCCAGAAATCAAAAATCAATCAAATGGATCCCTGCCATTTGACCAGGTATGGCTGCACCTTCCATTGGTAAATCAATGAGAAAAACTGATCCGTTTCTGAAGACCTCCTTCCCTGTGTAGACTTCTCTACCGGGGATCTAATAGAGTTGAAATCCCCACCCAGACACCAGGGGAGAGACCACAATTCTTGAACATGGCAAAGCTCCTCCCAGAAAATCTCCTCATCCACACGTCCATTCTAGACAACCATCTGCTATCCCACATAACTAAGATTGCGCCCGAAGTACCTATAGCATTCAAGGCCTCAGATTCCACAAACCTTCCTCCCCACAAACACATAACCATCCCCAACTTGGTTTCTTGCAAACAAACAACCTGGGCCCCCCACTTCCTTAAAGCCACCTTTACCACCCTTTTCTTGTTCGGGTCATTGAGACCTCGAACATTCCAAGTAATAATTCGTAGTTTCATTAAAACCCAGATAAAATTATTTTTCCCCCTCCCTTCCTTATGTTCTTACTTCTACTCCTTCACCACCCCTCTCTTCCCTTCATAATTAACATAAGAGATAAGATTCTTTACCTCTTGTGCCCCTTTCCAGGACGATAAAGGCCTAGTGTTCATGACCTCATTAGTCACTGCCACCTCTCTTCCTTCCACTATTGCTTGAAGAATGGATAATGTTTGGTCATTATTGCCTTCTGATGAGACACCCAACAACTCACTAGTGACTTATATTTTTGACTACCCAATCCTTTCCCATATCAGCAGCCGTTCCGGAAGAGCCAGGTCGCATAACAGCCAATGGTTCCACATCAGAACAATCATTCTCTAGCCAAGGGGCAAGCTCTTTAGAACAAACCTGTTGGATTAAACCCAAATCATCAATCACCACATCTTCAATATCTCTTCCATTCTCAAACATCGAGTCCGAATCTGTAACGTAGTCACCTATTCCATTTCACATGAAACTAACATACTCGTTCTCCTCAACCCCTGCAAAAGGCAAGCAATTAAGGCCTTTCAAGGCCACACGCAGATGGAGCTCTTTGAGCAAAGCTGAGGCCTCATCATTGGATAACAGAAAATGGAGATATCTTCCCACACAAACCGTGACCCCCTCAGGCGTGTCCTTAACTGCACAGTCCACTGGATCAACATACCCTGAAATAACAGACCCGCAGGCAGCCTTCCCTTCCGTATTCAAACCATACTCAGCTTCAGATATCGATGGCAGAACTGAAAGCTCACAACACTTCTCCGTTGCCAACTCAACTTCACTCCTCAACACCCCACAAGAAAGAATAGAAGAAGAAGAAGGAGCGTAGGGAGGGCTCCTAAGATGGTGGGCTGAAGACGTACCCGGATCGGTGCGTACCCACTTTTGTTTATCATTACGAGACCACATGTGACTGCGGCAACCCTAATGAGAGCCCCTAGTAGCTTCTATCAGTTGGTATAACAGAACCAGATGGAAGAGACGTTGCAGGAAAACAACACGTATTGTGTCGAAAAGCCCTCTCATCCGCATTCAACCCGTCGGCGCTTAACTGCATCCATCTCCTCTTCTCCGT